GGCGTGTGTGTAACACTTCGTGTGTCTCTGGGGCGTGTGTGTAAAACTTCACGTGTCTCTGGGGCGTGTGTGTAACACTTCATGTGTCACTGGGGCGTGTGTGTAACACTTGTAGTGTCTCTGGGGCGTGTGTGTGACACTTCACGTGTCACTGGGGCGTGTGTGTAACACTTCATGTGTCTCTGGGGCGTGTGTGTGACACTTCATGTGTCTCTGGGGCGTGTGTGTAACACTTCATGTGTCACTGGGGCGTGTGTGTAACACTTCATGTGTCTCTGGGGCGTGTGTGTAACACTTCATGTGTCTCTGGGGCGTGTGTGTAACACTTCACGTGTCTCTGGGGCGTGTGTGTGACACTTCATGTGTCTCTGGGGCGTGAGTGTAACACTTCATGTGTCTCTGGGGCGTGTGTGTGACACTTTATGTGTCTCTGGGGCGTGTGTGTGACACTTCATGTGTCTCTGGGGCGTGTGTGTAACACTTCATGTGTCTCTGGGGCGTGTGTGTAACACTTCATGTGTCTCTGGGGCGTGTGTGTAACACTTCACGTGTCTCTGGGGCGTGTGTGTGACACTTCATGTGTCTCTGGGGCGTGAGTGTAACACTTCATGTGTCTCTGGGGCGTGTGTGTGACACTTCATGTGTCACTGGGGCGTGTGTGTAACACTTCATGTGTCTCTGGGGCATGTGTGTAACACTTCATGTGTCTCTGGGGCGTGTGTGTAACACTTCATGTGTCTCTGGGGCGTGTGTGTGACACTTCATGTGTCACTGGGGCGTGTGTGTAACACTTCATGTGTCTCTGGGGCGTGTGTGTAACACTTCATGTGTCTCTGGGGCGTGTGTGTGACACTTCATGTGTCACTGGGGCGTGTGTGTAACACTTCATGTGTCTCTGGGGCGTGTGTGTAACACTTCACGTGTCCCTGGGGCGTGTGTGTGACACTTCATGTGTCACTGGGGCGTGTGTGTAACACTTCATGTGTCCCTGGGGCGTGTGTGTAACACTTCATGTGTCTCTGGGGCGTGTGTGTAACACTTCATGTGTCTCTGGGGCGTGTGTGTGACACTTCATGTGTCACTGGGGCGTGTGTGTAACACTTCATGTGTCTCTGGGGCGTGTGTGTAACCCTGCACGTGTCTCTGGGGCGTGTGTGTAACACTTCATGTGTCTCTGGGGCGTGTGTGTAACACTTCATGTGTCACTGGGGCGTGTGTGTAACACTTCAAGTGTCTCTGGGGCGTGTGTGTAACCCTGCACGTGTCTCTGGGGCGTGTGTGTAACACTTCATGTGTCTCTGGGGCGTGTGTGTAACACTTCATGTGTCACTGGGGCGTGTGTGTAACACTTCATGTGTCTCTGGGGCGTGTGTGTGACACTTCATGTGTCACTGGGGCGTGTGTGTAACACTTCATGTGTCTCTGGGGCGTGTGTGTAACCCTGCACGTGTCTCTGGGGCGTGTGTGTAACACTTCACGTGTCCCTGGGGCGTGTGTGTAACACTTCATGTGTCTCTGGGGCGTGTGTGTAACACTTCATGTGTCTCTGGGGCGTGTGTGTGACACTTCATGTGTCACTGGGGCGTGTGTGTAACACTTCATGTGTCTCTGGGGCGTGTGTGTAACCCTGCACGTGTCTCTGGGGCGTGTGTGTAACACTTCATGTGTCTCTGGGGCGTGTGTGTAACACTTCATGTGTCACTGGGGCGTGTGTGTAACACTTCAAGTGTCTCTGGGGCGTGTGTGTAACTCTGCACGTGTCTCTGGGGCGTGTGTGTAACACTTCATGTGTCTCTGGGGCGTGTGTGTAACACTTCATGTGTCACTGGGGCGTGTGTGTAACACTTCATGTGTCTCTGGGGCGTGTGTGTGACACTTCATGTGTCACTGGGGCGTGTGTGTAACACTTCATGTGTCTCTGGGGCGTGTGTGTAACCCTGCACGTGTCTCTGGGGCGTGTGTGTAACACTTCACGTGTCTCTGGGGCGTGTGTGTAACACTTCATGTGTCTCTGGGGCACCGTCATTGCAGAAGACGGACTGGTCCACCAGACACCAAAGTGAAAGCGAGACCAGAAATTGCAACACGCGCACTCGTAGCGATGTAATCGCTCAGGGCGCACTTGTCTACTTACTGTGAACTGCTGCTATCACCAACAGCAGCACTATGAGGCTGTGAGTCTCGGAGGTTAGCAGCAGACGCTGCAAGACCAATACAAAATCTTGACATTACGTCTTTTCGGCATCTATTGCGCACACGTCGTGTACGGCACGCCTCACAGACAAGTCCGTTCGCTCAGTAATCACAATGAACCAATACTGAAGGGCGAGTAACAAGACGACAACTCCCGTCGCTTCTTGGCCGTGCAACTCGAGATCATGGACTGGCAAACGCGACATTGGGTGGCGTGGCGTGGAGACGCAGGTGTCGAGGGCAGGGACAAGGGCTAAATATAAATCAAAGGGACTTGAGGGGGCAATTGCTCGGGAAGCTCTACGGGCTGCAGATGAAAGGACATGGGATGTAGGCGACGACTTATTAGACGATAGGCGTCTCTCGTGCCTCAACCGTTACCCCTTCAACTTTGCTCCAACGTTTCTTCTCCTGGCCTTCACCAATCCGCACTCAACAGCATTGCAAAGTATGTTAACAACAGCAAAATCCTATGAACCACAGCACTGCATAGGGAGGCCCTCATCCAGCAGCGGATTAAAAGAGCTGGCTATGCGCATGAAGTGTTTATGTCGAGGTAATGGCCACACGAGCTGAGTTTTATGGCGTTGCGAACAGGATGCGGCTCTCCTCTCAAAGGCAATAAACCTGAACTGGCAAACGAGTGACGCCACAACAGACTGTTCGTGCGTGCCATTTCACTTTACAGCCACAATTTGGCGCTTGTAAAATCCCTAATTGACCGAAATTTCCACGAGCGAGAAACGAACCTGAAATAGAGGGTTGACATTGTTAAGATACAGCTCTTGAATACATAAAAGACCAAAGGACAGAGAGCACAGATATTACGCTGCACCAAAACATGAGTAACATTTACAGATAACCATGTTTGTTGTTGTAATTGTGACAACGTCAGTTGTGACATTTATTGACCAGGGCACCTAAGGGGAGTGCTATTGGATGAGTTCCGTGTTTGTTACATGTTTACGAGAGTAGTGCAGTGTAAGACGACATCACCAGAGACATTAGATTGTGGTGGGTGTATTGTCTCCATTCGAGATTTATTCGCGGTTTATGCTTTAGGTATTGCAGGAAGATCATGATGAAAAAAATCAAGTTTAACACAGAGGCTTTCGCGAACAATATCATCTGTAATAGAGGTGTTTGGGTGAGATCGCGAAATATTTGTCACCTGATGCTAGTTGTTATTACTGGCCAAATGTCGTACTCTGATTGTAAATGTTGTGGATTTTCTCTCCAACACACCGGTGTGCTTTACTCGTAACGAATTGGCATGTTCTGTTTACATGACAAAGCTTACTAAATGTGTGTGTCGGGTGGTGGCTGGTTTAACTACACATTTATATTTACGCGACCTAACCCAAAAACCTATATTATAAAAGACATACCATTCACAAAGATAATGAATTTGATGATCTCCGTGGAAAGAGTGGAGCCGTAGTCTGTTTTAATTCTGCATGGAAATGCTCCTGTACGCACTCAAAGCGAGTGAATGCGAGTGAATGGAGCATTGCGAGTGAATGTTTCTTGGAGAAAACTCCCTCATCCCAACTTTCTTTCTCCAGACCCGGACACGCAGTGACTTTCAGCTGGTTCAAAACTGTCCAAGCACTGGTTCTCTTGGCAGATGAACGCTGCTCTCACGTCTGGGTGTAACCTTCAATATAAATCGCTTACCCGTGTATCCATAGTTCCATTAGGGTGTGCTAATTAGGGTTTTACGGTCCATATATGTTTATATGAGGCTCAATGACAGATCAGTACCGCAATGACAACAACTCACTTAAGTCCACACCTCGACAATGGCTACCAATGTTACCAACATCATGCCATCCATGAGGTGAGATTCCGCTGTTATCTGAGATGGCAATCAAATCATGGCTGACCCACGACTATAAATAAACCTCTTTGGACTAATGTAGAGACTCGTGATGGCTACGAAGGACGCCAGTGATTCGTGGCCCGAAGAACTCATTGATGATCTGACACAATTACCGAGCTTGTGGCGAACAGCAATCTGTTGATCAAATAACCTACCAAAAGTGAATGTTGTGCATTGGGGAACATATGCTAACAAATATATGCAAAGCGTATTACATACAACATATACGTGCAGAGTTCATATCCATAAACCATTGCTCAAAAACTTTGCCGATTTTTGTTGCCTTTTGAAGGCATAATTGACAAACGTGTTGAGTGATTCGCTATTTGTGCTGTTTGTGTTGTTGTGTTGTTTGTTGTACGACTGCCGATGTAGCAGATATCGTTCGCCACTGATGTTGACGGTGGCCATGAATTGAACTTAGGTTGTTGGGTTCGTAGCACTGTGCTGCATGTTATCTGTGAGTTGCTGGATTAGGCACATTAGTTTTCCCAGCCGTGTATGTATGTTTAACTTCTTTCATACCGTACGTAGCCAACCGTGCTAATCGGAGGTGCGGCCAAAGTAGGTCATGCGAACCAACCACATAAAACACGTATTATTTCAAAATACACTGGTTCTTGAAGTGACCGAGTGGTTCAGAGTGCATTATTGGACTCGACACCGTTGATAGCCTGGGTTCGAATTCTGGTTTCCATCACTTGCGATTAAACCCGGTTGTTATGTGTTGTTGATTTATGGTGTCAGCCCGCTGAGCGCAACGATAACTACACTAAATATACTTTGAAACTACAAGATTAACGTTATGGCTCTGACTACATCGTATAGGTATCGGCTCAGGTGCAATAAACGAGCATCCAGATAAATGCACGGCCATGCCAGTCACCCACCATTGACTCCGCGGTGTTCTCTCTCTCGAGAGAGAGAGAGAGAAAGCGAGTGGGGTTGGGACTCACGGCGCTCACCATGGGCAACCCTCGCACCATCGTTGTGTTCTTCACGGCTCTCTTGGCGGTCTGCGCATTCACCATGTTGGTGTACCAAGAGTTGGCAAGGTCAGTGAGCCGCGCGTTGCTGCAGCCGCATGGACACGCAGCAAGGCCGTGTGTTCAACGGCACAGGGGCTTGACGCGCACGCAAACCGATCGGAGTGAGGAGTTGAAGTGTCACCCAGTCTGTTATCGTATTCAGATTCATTGTGATTTAGGACGCCTTTAAAGTCCACTGTCAATCAACTGCTGGACGAAGGACTCCGCCATGCCGCGTGTCGCCCACGATGTTTGTTTGGCCATACTTCACCACGCAAGTCAGCGCGGGGTACAGGGTCGTTTTGAGATGTAACTCGACACTGATGCTTATCACTGAGCCATCGCTTTACTCCAGATAAATGGTATCAATCGATGTATTGAGTATTAAGCTCATGCTATTCATAATCAACGTTTTTGGGTTTAGATCGCGTTTATTTATAAATGTGTCGTAACCCTCCACCACCCGACACGGCCAATCAGTAAAAATATGTCACGTTGACAAAGACAAATAGTTCACTGCTTTAGCCCACCGGTGTGTTGAAGCCACAACATTTACAATTTGAGTACGACATTTCCCAAAAACGTTGATTATGAATAACATTGGTCGCGAAAGCCTACGTGTTAAGCTCATGCTACATGCATCGAATCACGTGTGTAATAATCTGTAATTTGTATCAGTGCCAGATTAAGCTAGTGTGGGGTCTGTAGCATATGTTATAAAGGGGTCCTAAATACAAAAACACAAATATTAAAGCAACATTTTTGAACTTGCATAGTAAGATACATGTATTTTTAATTTGCTATACAGCCAGATAATATGACAAATCGCTAACCTTAAACACCTAGTCGTTCAAAAAAGTTGAAGGCAGTATAGTACTATAGTAATAGAGCAAGTGCAGAATCGCTGAACCGGAATTGATAGCTTGAAAGCATTTCGCGCGGGCCCTTGAAGGCGCGGGGCCCGTAGCTACATATGTAGCTACTTGTGCTACGAGGATAATCCGGCCCTGATTTGTATGCCTTTTCCAAATAAGATATAGTGGCTGCAAGAGGCTCATGTGACAACAACTGCAGCCGCTAGTGGCCGCTATTATAATTAATCAATGATTGAATCGAATCACACCTTTAATCTGCTTTGTAGTTTTTAGTCAATAAAAACACACTGTTGTATTTTATTATATATTTTTAAAATAATCGTTCGTACAAAATATATGTTATTATGCCTTTCACTGCGTTGCAGATTGAACTCAGCGGATGCGGAACAATTTATTAATGTCAATGAATCGCCAACTGATGGTCTTCGTGCCAACAACCGTGTCGACTGCTTTTGTCCTGAGTCGAGCAAAAGGCCAAAAAATATAAAACGGCAACAATATATTCGATTTACACAAAAGCTTTGGAAATCGGAGACAGTCTTCCTGAAATCGAGACGGCCTCGGTCAATTCAGGACGTTTGGAAGCTCACAAAGAGATCTGAAAGCCGATGTAGTGAGGCGAAATTTATCGCAGTGTAGACACTAATTGCTAAAGATTTTAGCTGCAGCAGAATGTTGTCCAATAAGTATTACTCGAGCCACGAAATGTCTGTATGTATGTTCAACTTATTTCACACCGTATGTTGCCAGCTGTGGTAATCGGAGGTGTAGGTGAAATACAACAAACTAAGCACAGCACGTATTTATAAAGAAATTTGTTGTCAAATGTAGATTCTTTTAAAGTGCGTAGCTCCAGTGGCTTCCTAATATCGGAAAGAAGAGCGTTCCAGATGGCAGCAGAAGCGCATCTGAAAGATGCGATGCGGTGACCGTCTTTGTTCAATGGTGAGCCAGAAGCCGTTGCGAGAATGAGTGGAGTTCGCGTGATAAGAGCAGGGGGGCAAGGATGGAGCCTTGTAAGATGCCTTCACACAAGGCGTAGTGTAATATAACGGGCACCTCCGATTAGCAGGGTTGGCAATGTGCGGTGCGAAATGAGTCCATTATACACACGTGTTATTATCCCTACCAAATACACTGCATTACAATTTAAGATACGATTACGATTGACTTTGACATAATCTTGAAGAAAAAAACCCCTTAGATCTAAGCAATGTCCCCTTGTGTTCAATAATCTTCATTTTCACTTTTACTGCCTCCTTTCCCCATAAACAGCTCAGGATGGCGTCGCTGGACATTCCAGAGATCCTACATCTTGTGGTTCATGGCAACCAAACCAGAGTCAGTGGAACTGGCTTCAACCCCCACCACACCACCACGCACCACCAAAGAAGTGTGGATGCCCCAGCCAGCCCAGACGACAGTGGTCTTCCTCAAGACGCACAAGACTGCAAGCTCCACCTTCCAGAACATCATCTACCGCTTTGGCGAGAAGCACAACCTAACGTTCGCCTTCCCCACCCAGGAAAATCATTTCAGCTACCCAGAACTCTTCAAACGCACATTTGTGGCCCACCATCTCCACGGCAATCATGTTTGCTATGACATAGTCTGCAACCACATGCGCTTTCTGGCAGAAGAGGTGGCAAGCGTCGTAAAACCGAATGCGATGTACCTGTCAATTGTACGTCAACCAGAGAAAAGTTTTGAGTCCGGGTTCTACTACTACCAGAACTATGCGCAAGCTTTCAAAGCAGCAACACACAAGAGCAAGGGAAAAGACCCATTGAGGACTTTTCTTGAAAATCCTGAGAGGTTTTATGTTCCATCAAAGCAGTCTGCAGCCTATGTGAAGAATCCTATTGCATTTGATTTCGGATTGGACGCGAACGTTGATGTGTCAAGTGACACATTCCGCGCGGCGTTAGAACGAGTGGACGCCATTTTTCATCTCGTGATGATCGCTGATCGATTCGATGAGTCGGTTATTTTAGCGAAGGAGATGTTGCATTGGGATATGGACGATGTCGTCTACTTGTCCTTAAACAAGCGACAAGTATCCAGTAAAACTGGCAACAGCACACTCCAGGAGACTGACCCCACGTTATCAAAATTAATAAGGCGTTGGAACGCATTAGATGTCGCCCTATACGATCACTTTAACAATCGCTTTCAACGCCACGTAGATGCCTTTGGCAAGGAGCGCATGCGCAGTGAAGTGGATACCCTGAAAAAGATGTGTAATATCTGGCGAGAGCTGTGTGTGGAGGATGAGGTGGAAGCGAGTAAGATAAACGAGAAAATGCTGAAGCCATACATGCCCGAGGAAGTAAAAATCCTGGGCTACAGAATTAAGGGGGGATTAGATCAAGACACACGGGAGCAGTGCCTCCGACTGTTGATGCCTGAGCTCAAATTCCACGAAATGCTCTTCGCGAAGCAACAGAGCCATGGGGGGAGATGATGAGAAGCTCACTTTGCCCTCAATGTCCACATCTTCACATTGTGCCACTGACACCATTTAATGTACATGCACGCGGCATTCTTCATTGCACCGTGATGTTTGTACATTCTACAGCAAACCCAGGAGCGCAACTGTGGTTGGGGCTATGACGTGGCAGGGGTGTGCGACGCATCGGGGCCGAGTCGGCCACATGGGGAGCCCCGAATTAACGGATGAACAAGTAGCAACAATGTTAAGAAAATTTATTCGAAAAACGATTCCAACAATTACTGAACACCAGGATTTTTTGCTGACATTCGCATGAAAGCAGACGCACGATAACTTAAATGTATGTATTGTACCTTCAAATCTTTGTATTACTACTGTCACCAAATACATGGTGCAACTACAATAATGTACATATAGTTATAGTCTAAGATATTACTGTATACGGGTAAAACATCTGGAGCTGTTTCAGTACAAGTGTGTCGGGAGAAAGGAGGGGGGCCCACAGTCCGATCTTGCATAGCCCCCCCCCCATCTCCCCCCCGCCCTGCTGAAGCAGGTCGCTGTGGCCCTGAGCAAACCCTTGCACATCGTGGGGGTCACGTTCTAGAAAATATAAATATCCGCAATCGGCAAATCCACGATCCGCAAACTCAAAAGCAAATGGGAAAACTCGAGTTTGATTCACAGTTTGCAATATAACAGCCAACCCTCCTTTTGCTTCATGTTACCCTACATCAACCCAATAATTTAGCTGGAAGTATTTTGAATGTAACATTTGATTAATATTTTCTAGTGTTAAATAAAACTTGTCCGGTGAATGTTTAGAACGAAACACGTGATAATGGGAGATAACGTGTGTGGCTGAACCTCACACTGCCTCCTCGCCGGAGGCTGGGAGCACCGTGTGACCTGGGACCCGCGATGGGCCGTTTGGGAGGCGAGATGGAGCCGAGCGCGTGCCCCGTGCGGTCTTCCACGGCAGCAGCAGCAGCCGCAGCATCGCGAGCAGCGCAGTTACGATGCGTCTAGCAATCTCGCGGTCAACCAGTGCCTCACACAGAGGCGCGATCAGCGAACTGGGCCTCTGAATTTGGCGTGAAACCGCAAAACCGCGATCGCTAAACCTGCGAGAAGGAAAGGGTTTTCTGTATTTAAATATTCACAAATCTACTTTACTTTTAGGGATAATTTCACTATTTAGGCCAAATGTTTAATTCCAATATCTTGTTTTAACATGTGGCGTTCTTCCATAAGGATGACATTGATCAGGAGATTTATAGTTTGTTAACAGACTTTACTTGTTTGTATATATGTATAACTTCTTTCGCACCGTACGTAGCCAACCGTGCTAACTGTTTGGACAATTATTGTTGTTTTTATTCACGTTAAGGACGAACTACAAGCGAAATAACAATCAAGCTGGGCAGCGAAAAATTGGAACAAGTACACCGATTTAAATACCTTGGTGTAATCATTGACGATCAGTTGAACCATGAAGTCGAAATCAAGAGCAGAATTGAACAAGCAAGGCAAGCATTTATTAAATGGAAAACACTCCTTGCAGACCGCAACTTGAGTATATCACTGAAACTGCGCACACTGAAATGCTACATCTGGTCAATTTTGCTGTACGGAGTAGAGACGTGGACACTGACAACAACAGCAACAAAAAGGCTCGAAGCTTTCGAAATGTGGCTGTACCGAAGAATGCTGAAAATCCCATGGACAGCCAAAACCACCAATACACAAGTTATGCAAGATATGGCCACTGACAGGCAACTGCTGAAGACCATCATTAGCAGGAAGTGTTACTACCTAGGCCACATTGCCCGAAACGACCACAAATACCAGCTATTAAAGCAAATCCTGGAAGGAAAAATCGAAGGGAAAAAACGACCAGGACGGCCAAAAACGACATGGCTCAGTAACATCAAAACATGGCTACAATTAACAACAGCACAAACTCTACACGCCGTGCTAGACCGGGACCAATATCATCGTGAAGTCGCACACGCCGTTAGGCAGCACTAAAGAAGAAGAAGAAGGACGATTAAATCAAAAGTTCATGTAGACTGCTAGGCCCGAAGCCTGCAGGATCTATGCAGTTGTGACGTTCCCCCGCTCCTTGGGTCGGATGAGTGTCATGTTTGAGTCAGGTTTGCCCTGAGCCGTGTTGTCGTTCTGTTTGGCGGTGTTCATCTCTGTCCTGTCGCGACAATCTACATTTGTTATGTTCTGCTGCCCCCTAGTGGCCGTTGTGGGCTCGTGCGTTTGTTGTTGTGAGTGTTGTCTTGGAGTCGAAGATCCCGGGGGTTTGATCTTCCACGAAGCTCATTCTCCACCCTAAACCGCATACACTGCACACAAAGCATGGCAGTAGATGCAGATACCTGATGCACAAGTAGAAAGTTAAAAAGCCTTCCGGGGGCGTATGGGCGCATTGTGTCTCTGACGCAAGCTGGGCAAGGTGGTTCAGAGCTTAGTAAGTAATAGGATGTTAAACTGAATCCTCTACGACACTGCAAGCCAGTGCAGAGAAACCAACACGGGCGTAAGGCGATCTGAAGGAGGTGTTCTTGTTGTGATACGAGCAGCCGCATTCTGAACATGCTGCAGATTGTTAAGCGCCTCCTGAGCCACACTAGGGGCGAGCTGTCGCGACAGGCTGATAGCCGCACATTCATTGAGACTTGGAGATATTTGTAGAACGTGGGTGTTATATTCAACAATCAAACATTATACCATTTCTGTACTGGGTTAAGCTTCAGCCAACATAATGCTATCCTGCAATGAGCGAGTCGATTCGCGAAGAGTTATAAATGAATACTATTTACACTTTGTATGTTGAACTTATTTCGCACTGTATGTAGTCAACCGTGCTAAATTATAACAACATTTGAAATTATACATTTGTAACGGTAATCATCGAGTAAAATCTGATTGGTTGTTTACGTGAGATAATGACATCCATTGAGTGGCTCAAACATTCTGGATCATTGCTTTGACCTTCTCGATCTTGTCCTGAAGGTGCTTGACGTAGTCTCAAGGGAAACGTGGAATCTATTGAGTAAATTAAGCTGTGAGAATTATTCTTCAACTTATTGGTGAGTGAGCTGAATCAATAATAATTGGTGTGTTATATTTGTGTACACCACGTGACAACTTATTTCGCTGTGTCGGATGGTACAAAGGGCTTCTACTGAAAGTATTGGTCTGCTCACTGTGGTCATCTCACGAAGTAACCCAACATAAATGATTGAATTCTAAATAGGGGAGGGGGTGTTTGTCTCTTTTTTCATGCGTAATTCTGGATATCCATATACAGTATATCTGAAAGCATATCTGTGTATCATACTACAATATATTAGAACAACGTTTGACTGGCTGGCTGGAGCGACGGAGAGTGACATCCAACTGATGCGCACGCTGATAGCTTAGCTGGAAAACAAATATGACTATGCACGTTGCTTGATGTTGATGCCATGGGGCGGAGAATAGTTGAAGAGCTTGTAGTCTTCGTAATAAAACCGGTACAGCTTCCACCTCGCTTCAGTGCTGAGCTGTGCCAGGTAGCTGTGAGTCACGTTGGCCGAAGAGCGCATGTTCTTTTGGTGGGAGTAAGATATCCAGCTGGGCGCCCCGATCTTCGCCAGCAAGGCGGCCGAGTCGCGCTGCATGGTCTCCAGCTTGCCGATGAAGTTGAAGTGCAGCAGGCAGGGCTGGCACAGCTTGTGGACGGGCAGCCAGTGCACGTCCTGGTAGAGGGCCCAACGAGGGTCCAGAATGAAGCTCACAAACTCGGAAAAGGTGACGTCGTGGCCCTGAAGCAGAGACTCTCTGCTCGGGTTTTTCCGGTAGCAGGTAATGATGTACCGTCCGTAAACTCTCTACTTTCACGCACACACGTGGAAGAATGGGGGGGGGGGGGGGAGCAATTTTAGCGATGGAAAGACAGACTTGCTTCAGTGATGCACGACTGTGCTGTAGCACAAGATCACGAAGACACATTTATAATTGGTCGAATTATCTCGTTTGCGCCTAAGATCAATTAACCCGGAGCTTTAGCCGCATTGATCCTGGATATTTCATGAATTGTTGACCACCGACATGCACAGCCAGGTTGTAACGGGCTGATGCAGGGCTACATGTGTAGAGGTGTTACGGAGGGCAAACAAACAAACTGGGCGTGGTTATGCCCATAAAACAAAAGGTGCTTACATCCACGTCCGCACCGTTTAGCCTGGGGGGCTAACACGGAGCTGGGATCCCCCACGGCCCCACCCCTCAGTGGGGGAGTTGCTATATAAGGCGGTGAGCCGGAGGGCTCGGGGTTCAGTGTTCAGCCTTAACCAGAGAAGAAAGAAGACCTGCTAGATAGGCCCTGGGACTCCCCTGGATCGCTGTCCTCAGGACCGACCAGGGCAAGCCAGTGGCGTGGCCCCAAGAGCCCAGAGCCGATGCTCTTGTAAGAGCCGGTCTGGGGACTCAGGGTGCCGTAATCCCAGCTTAACCAGAGCTGGGTTAGCTAGCCTCCCATAGCCCTGTAGTGGAGGACCTAGGAGTAAGGCTAGCTGTGACATAGAGTGTTGATCTCCCTGTTAGACGGGTGAAGGGGCCGATACCCCTTCGAGTGTTGTACATCTCGGCCTGTTATGTACTTTGTGCTTAATAAATAAGTGTGCCTCCAACTACGTCGTCCAAGTCTCCTGGAACCTACTACACATGTATAGAGCAGCAGATTTCAGTACATAAAAAGCAGTGTTGTACTGCACTTCGTTAGAACTGCTTTTTGTGTTTAGTTTGCTGTCCTTCCCCCGCACCTCCGATTAGGACGGTTGGCTACGTGCAAAAGAAGTACAACACACAAACACAAGTTGAAGCCCAAGAATGCTTCATGTGTCGTTTGATAATCACACGTAACAAATATCACGCTACTACTGTAATGTGGCACTTTTGTGTAGATTGATTTAGGGTAGTCTATTTTGTCCGAAGTGTAAACGGAGCAGAGCTCACTCCCCCTCCTAACTGTGGGAAGGGAGAGAGGTGCGTTCAAGAGAGAGGCGCGTTCAAGAGAGAGAGGCGCGTTCAAGAGAGAGAGGCGCGTTCAAGAGAGAGAGAGGCGCGTTCAAGACAGAGATGCGTTCAGGGCGAATTTGTTTTGGGGGCCGCTAAAAATATTTTCGGAGAAACGAATCCCTGATGACAATAATGAGCCCATTAGTGGGGAGGACGTGGGACGTCTCTCTGCCAGTGTGCCCCGCTCTTGATCACCTGCTATTATCACAATATCATGATCTGCTGCTTATAAATTATCTGACAAGTTCGAACAAAAATAAAATCAGTTCCTGTATGCTCATAAACATAGCAATGGACACTTACATAATCAACCCTGGACAACTCTGGGTCAATTTTTGTCGCGAAAATACTGTCCCACCTGTAACACGGACCTGGTAGTAGTCGTTTTTCATCAGAAACTTGTCCCGGTAGGCAGACACGAGTCGCTCCATGGGCTCCCTCACAAACAGCGCCGCTGTGTAGCCATTCAGCCGCGAGCGCCGACCGGCGGCGTCGAACTGTTGCAGCCTCGTGTAGTTCTGGGTCTCCTCGTGCACCTGACTCCCCGGTATCGTCATTGAGTGGTTGTCCCCTCGCGACAGCGCCAGGATAATCCTTTTCCAATTGGTGCAGCCGACCTTGGGCACTTCGCAATAGAGCAGCGAGTAGCGGTCATCCACGTAGATGCGGTACAACGTGTTTTTGTGCAGGTCTGTGTACAATGGTGGCAACCTCGTCCTGTGGCTCGCCTCGTGTTGTCTGCACACTTTGTTTAGAGTCGCGAGCCTCTGCTGCTGGGATTCTTGCAAGTCCGTCGCCTTCAGTGTTAGCCCTGAGGGTGTTTTCCGGATTTCAGGCGCGCAAATGCACACATACAAAATGAAACAAGAGCAAATGTGATGTGATGCTTAAACGGCTGCCTTATGGCAGAAACATATAATCTGTTGAACAGATAAAGGGCAACTGTCATGTAGTGCCCTCAAAGATGGAAATAACATCCTTTCCATGTTTTAGAGTAGCCAGGTTAGATAGCATCATGAATGAAGACAATGGAAATAACTTGAAGCTAGAATGAACCACAATAGATTTAGATAGGTCTGGTGTGGTCCGAGGAGCGGAAAGAGAAATGGCGCAGGACAGGGCAGCGTGGGGAAGGTTGGCAAGGACACAGCGGCCCCCACGTGAGTGGGACGAACGCGTGGGAGACGAAGAAGAGGTTTGGTCTGGTCCCGTAAAGAGAATGGCACCAATCAGGAATCCGGCAAAAGCAATGGGCGAGCAGTTGTCGTGAATGCGACACGAAGCACTTGCGATGGCTCAGTGACGGATTCAACAATGTGTGATCCATCTTGACAGATACTGTGTCGTTTTATCGAGCAAGATACTATTTTCTGAAAAGCGATGCATTTTATAGAGATACATCAAATACGAACAATTATATTCAACAGTTTCTTCATTTTAAGTACGAGTGAGGCATTCGTAGTGCCTTCTTTGGGGAACTGTATCCGGCTTAAATACGAGTGCTCATCCACGATGTGCTTTTCAAGCAGTCATGCAAGGCAGTATACACACAATCGCCACCGTCCCTCAGAAATTCGCATGGGAGTTGATCTATCTCGCTTCAGCGCTTTACATGGTTAGATTTTGTACGGATCTATCTCCGCACCTGCCCAGCAGATGGCATATTTGCCAGCCACTCGCTCACAGCGGCTGGCTGCTTCGATGTGGGGGCTCTTGCGCACTATCTGGGCCAACCATCGTCATTGCGAAACAGCACGCGGCACAACCTGAATACGCACTTGAGAATAAAAATGTGTTTAATGTTTTGTTTTGCAGACACAGCTTTCTCCAACACCAGCATCCACGCACCGTGGCTCGCAAGAGCTCTCATACCAACTTGGAGTGGGTGGACGTCCAGGAAGAGAAAGGGCAACAAGATGCCACTCCCCATAGCCGTGGCCAACAGCAGAATCGTGCACTCCTTCGTACCCATAGCGCTGGTCGCGCACCTCCACCTGCTTGAAACGTGATAGAGACGTGGCATGACAAGCTAGCTCCATTGTAAAGTGTTAGGTCACAGCTGCAGGGGAGCACATGCGCTTATGGTGGAGAATAATGCAAGACAGAGGGACAACAAAATACGACATCTGAAAGTGGAAACTGTCCGCTGTGCAAGTCAGAACCAGAATCTTTATTTAGACCGGAGGAGGAATCCGATGAGCTATGAAGCTCTTTGTCACAGATGTCGAGTAGGGGCGCGGGGTCAGCGAGTTACATCAACAAACAACGCAAAGGACGATATGAGTGCACGATAGAGAAAAGGGAAGCAAGTCACTAAAATAAATAATTGCGAGTGAAGTACAAATTGAACAGGCACATACATTCCTCCCGATTTGTCAACACTAAATGCAAGTTTGGACAAGGCAGAAACACAACAACCACAGACCCTCAATTACAGTTCATATGGAAATCAAACTTGGATACAACACGGCTCAGGTTCAAAGTGACAAATGTGTCTGTATCTGGCACGAATCTTCTGGTTCAAAATATTTTTTGAAGGAAGACTTACGATGTTCAGGGAGTAAAGAAGGTTGCTCCAAAACTTTGGTGCAGCAGCGGCAACGTCTTTGTCACCTATTCCAATTCTTGTTCTGGGCATAATTAAAAGACAGTGAGATGGACGTCTTGGGTTTCTTGGGTTTGACAATGGGGTTAATGAATCAGAAAAGTACAGCGCAAACTTGCCAATCAGGATGTGATAGATCAACATGGCCCGATGTAGACTTCTACTTGCATTAAGTGATGTGAGATTGAATTTTACGTAGAGGTCACAATGGTCGGTCCTGTATGGTACATCCAACGCAACGCATATGAGGTCAGGATAACACATTCTAGTAGATAAAGTTATTTAGCGCGTGCTAACCATCACACTGCGGTGTGATGGTTAGCACATTGGACTTGCGATCCAGAAGACTACGGTATGATTCCATCTCACAGTCGAGACGATGGGAGGAAGTTTCTCAAATCCCCACCGCCTCTGTGTACAGAGCAGCATGAATATATAATGGTTACTCGATCATCGACCGAAAGGTCGCGTGTGGTGGAGTAAAGTGTGGGTACTCTCACCTCCATGAATGCCATCTTTCCAACGAGGAAGAGTCGGCCAAAACACCCACTCGAGTTTCTTTAGCGCTCCCTTCAGCGTTAGTGTTGCAAGCAGGGACGTGAGCAGGCAATAGCAGCGCCTTTACGTCTACCCAGAGCCGCCGTCCCGAGGGCACGGCGAGTCTGGGCGCCCGCCCCGGGCCCCGCGCTTTGGGGGGACCCGCGCTTCGACGTCACGGTGTCAGACAAGACTCGGCTTTAGTTTGAAGGCCCTGCTCCCTTCCTACGGACGGCCATGCCTTTACCTACGCAAATACCAACGAGGTCCCAGAAACATTGTGTTCAAGGCGATGGGTTTCTCACCTCTGCGGTCCCTGGACGAGAGGTTGCAGGCAGATTGTGATAGCCACCAGCACACGCACTGTGATGCTTGCGACTGGACCGATGCGTAACCAAGCTATGAGATGTTGTGTCTCTGCACGCTCTATTTATTGCTGACAAAAGACTGGGGGGAGGGTGGAGTGGATTCATAGCCTATTAGCAAATACAAATCGCGATGTAATGTAAATACTGTTTTGATGGTGACGTTCGTATCTAAGCAAACAATGAATACCCAATGGGAGTATTTAAGTACGTTAATGTGGCGTTATCGCGCTTAAGAAACGTAACTTCACGTATCGTGAGCATAGGATTGGGTGGAGTATTTGATGCATCTTTGCCTGGCTAGATCACCTGACCATGCAACAACATTGAACGTTAGTTTAGTGTTGAGATCACCTGACCATACAACAACACCGTTTATTTACTATAGATGTTGTATTAGAGTTGCCATTGAGGGATGAATGTATCTTTAATATAATCGAAACATGTTTGGTATAAAAGCAATCGGGTCATTTAAGTTGTCTAAAAAGTGTTATATTTTTTATATCGTCACTGTGAAACAACCAGGAAGATTCTAGATTTGAAGCTTTCATGACTGCAAGGATTCATATTCTTAGGTTTTTTCGGTAAAGTCACGTAGGTAAAAAAATTAAAATTAATAAAAGTAAAATAAAATAAAATTCACGACGTTTCGGAGGCAACACAAGCTTCCGTCTTCAGGTGGAACCGTCACAGCCACGACAGCTGTATCAAGTAAATGAGAGATTACAAGAGCTACCACTCCGTATATATAATGGTTGAAGAGGGGAAGGGCCAAGTACGGCACACTTTTATTAATATGGTAAGGTGAGGCTTAAGACTAAGAATAGACTGCATAACAAAAGACTGAGCCTTTGTTATGGAGAGGTGCGGTTTGTGACTACGACTAGCCTACATAAGAAAAGTGTGAAAAAAGAAAATACAAACCTGGTAAAACAAAACTGGCTGTCTATCAATAACCTGTAATAGTTGTCTGTCAAATAAGATGGTCCAAATAAGTGGAGTTAAATCTTTTTTGCATGGTTAATCACATCTTTCCAATGATTACTCAGTTTGTAACCATCATCACGGTTGAAATTATGTCTGTGTTTGTATATTTGTATGGCTTCGTGTACAAACCTTTGATGGTAGCCAGGAGGTTTGCAAAGCACCTTGGTCTCGGAAAAGACAATTTCATGAGAGCCCACAGAGTTGTAGCAATGATCGGCAACGGCCGAAGAATCAGTTCTGCCGTGTTTCAGATCTGACTTGTGCTCGCGGACACGATCAGAAACATGACGTTTCGTTTCTCCAATGTAGCAATCACCACAACTGCAACTCAGTTTGTAATACCCATCGCTTTCACACTCACATCCGCTGCTGTGTCCTCACCGAACACTAAACAGATCTTTTTTTAAAGCTAGCCTATCACTAATCTCGGAGAGAATAAAATTACTCCGATCTGAACACGATAATTTAGACAAGACTCTCTTACAAACACATTTAATGTTAACACAAAAAATGTCACCTTCCGATTGGAACCACGTTGATAACATGACTTCTGCTTCTGCTGACTCAATGTCAGCCAAATACAAAGCTAACCTGATTTCTAAATTCAACCTCCTATCTAAGAAGAAACCAGAGCCACACATCACAAAGCTGGATGTTAACAAGACCGTGATTAATCAGAGTAACATCCCAATTTCTGACAATCTAAAAACGGTACTGGCCAAAGGACTAAATTTCGCCGTCACCCCTAAATATATACCAGTAGAGGATGTGATTTCTCAGATTGATGTAGCCCTCAGAGGCATAGAACACATCCATGCGGATGTAGCAAGAGCTGAAATAGCTACTATTTTAACAATGCTAAGAAACCCACTAGTAACATCAGCAAAAACGAACGCTCTGAACTCGCGGACCTAAAAAAGAGAGATGATATAGTCATCCTCTCGGCAGACAAGGGCAATGCCACGGTCATCATGGATAAAGATTCATACAACAACAAAATCCTGGACCTTCTTAATGATGGGAGTTACTCCAAAATTAAAAACGATCCCACTAAAAGCCTAACGACAAAAACCAACAGAATCATCACGAATTCGACTTCCCTAATCGAACCAAGCAAACGTCCCTCTCTAAAACCATCGGCGGCAAGACCTCCCAGACTCTATGGTCTTCCCAAGATCCATAAAGAAGGCACCCCGCTACGACCCATCGTGTCGATGATAAACTCTCCTACCTACAAACTAGCCCGTTTTCTATCAGATACTCTGCTTCCCTTCACAGGCAAGACCTCTTCGGCAGTACTCAACTCAACCCAATTAGTCTCTATGGTTAAGGACATGGTACTATCTCCTGATGACATCCTCGTCAGTTTTGATGTAGTATCTTTGTTTACCAAAGTCCCAGTACCAGACACCCTAACAATAATTGAGGACTTAGTCCAACATGGATTGAATTCTGATGTACCTGCGCTGGTTAGGCATTGCCTCACCAACACCTATTTTACCTGGAATGGCACCTTCTACAAACAGAATGAAGGTACCCCTATGGGCTCCCCCTTGTCACCAGTTATAGCCAACATGTTCATGGAAAAGTTTGAATCAGACGCCATCCAGACATCCACCCTGCGTCCTTCCATGTGGAAGAGGTATGTGGATGACACTTTCGTCATCTGGCCACATGGCCTCCCAGCATTGAACCACTTCTTGGACCACATCAATTCCAGACACCTATCCATCAGATTCACCATGGAAGTGGAGAAAGATGGTAAACTACCATTCTTGGATATTCTGTTTGAGAGGAGACCTGACGGATCCTTGTGACATTTTGTCTACAGGAAAGCCACCCACACAGATTCCTACTTGAAACCGGATTCCCACCACCACCCATCTCAAAAGAATTCTCTCATCAAAACGCTATACCACAGAGCCCATGGCATTTCTGACCAACACCACCTGGCCGGTGAATTAAGACATGTACATCGGGCCCTCAGGATGAACGGATACTCTGACCGCACCATCCGCAAAGCTGTTTCTCCCACCATACAGAAACAGCCACATTAAACTCCGACCAAAACTATCACGTTACCATACATAGCAGACGTGACCAAAAAGATCTCCAAAATTCTAAACATACATAAGATCCAAGTCCGATTCAATACAGTGCATAAAATCCGTGATCTGATTCCATCTGTGAAGGATGTCGTTCCTGACTTACAGTATCCTGGAGTCTACAAACTGAGTTGCAGTTGTGGTGATTGCTACATTGGAGAAACGAAACGTCATGTTTCTGATCGTGTCCGCGAGCACAAGTCAGATCTGAAACACGGCAGAACTGATTCTTCGGCCGTTGCCGATCATTGCTACAACTCTGTGGGCTCTCGTGAAATTGTCTTTTCCGAGACCAAGGTGCTCTGCCAACCTCCTGGCTACCATCAAAGGTTTGTACACGAAGCCATACAAATATACAAACACAGACATAATTTCAACCGTGATGATGGTTACAAACTGAGTAATCATTGGAAAGATGTGATTAACCATGCAAAAAAGATTTAACTACACTTATTTGGACCATCTTATTTGACAGACAACTATTACAGGTTATTGATAGACAGCCAGTTTTGTTTAACCAGGTTTAGTTTTTTCTTTTTTCACACTTTTGTTATGTAGGCTAGTCGTAGTCACAAACTGTACCTCTCCATAACAAAGGCTCAGTCTTTTGTTATGCAGTCTATTCTTAGTCTTAAGCCTCACCTTACCATATTAATAAAAAGTGTGCCGTACTTGGCCTTTCCCCTCTTCAACCATTATATATACGGAGTGGTAGCTCTTGTAATCTCTCATTTACTTGATACAGCTGTCGTGGCTGTGACGGTTGCACCTGAAGACGGAAGCTTGTGTTGCCTCCGAAACGTCGTGAATTTTATTTTATTTTACTTTTATTATTTTTAATTTTTTACCTACGTGACTTTACCGAAAAAACCTAAGAATACATTAGTTTAGAGTTGAGATCACCTGACCATGCAACAACACTGAACATTAGTTTAGAATTGAGATCACCTGACCATGCAACAACACTGAACATTTGCTTAGAGTTGAGATCACCTGACCATGCAACAACACTGAACGTTAGTTTAGTGTTGAGATCACCTGACCATGCAACAACACTGAACATTAGCCGGGTATGATGACGTTCGCCTGTGATCCAACGCGCGAGAGGCAAGGATTGGTGGATCACGAAGATTTTTGTAAAACTGGCCGGGCTGCGAGGTGCCCAGTAGATGGCAGTGGAGGGAAATTATGAAAATGTCAGATACGTAGGCCCAAGTGTTTGGAAATGCTGAGCCATGTAACTCAGCTCCCGACCCTTATCTCAGCTTACCACCCACTGCGCTTTCTCACTGCGTCACAAATCACATCAGAGTTGGTTTCCTAACACATCATCCTCCACAAGCATATGGCATTGATAATAATGATCATCCTTAAAGTGCAGATATATATCAACCATCAGAGAACTCCAGAACCCTCGCCCATAAGAAATAACCCTGGGCAATTGTTTGTTAAGTAAATGTATCTGTTAAATCATGTTTGCTTCTCATAATCGACTGAGTTAAACTGAAGTTTTCTTTGCACTTGACACAAACGGTAGTAATATAGACACCAATATTTGCCCACATCCTTTCTGACATATGATCTATAATTATAGACGTGAACTGTCGAGCTCCAGTTGCCACACGAGAGGACCTGACAGTACAGCTATTAAAGTGCCGTCTCTATTTTCCATGTTCATTGTGTAAAGATGGCCTGTAACGTTTGTTATTCTTGTTTTTACAAAAATTAATTAGCCTCTGGAACGCAGATTCACATTCCTGTCTGTGGAATAAACAACAGCAACATCCAACTAACATGTTGATGCATAGTCAGAATGACAATCCAAAGCTTTGCATTCCCTTATCTGAGGGGGAAGTGCTGTTAGCGAGTAGCACCTATGAAGAACGGCACGGCACATGCAGGGGTGGGTGGCCAGCACCACGCCCCGCCACCTTTGTCTTCCCAGTGGTGATGTTTCACACCGCACCAGCGCGCTAACCACTGAACTACCTTCATTTATGTTCTTATCAGTTTAATATTTGATAACTGGGACAACCTCCGCTTATTGTAGTTTTTTATTGAGTACCCGTGATAAGAATGTGGAATTTCTAGCACTAAGGGCTAGTTCCCTTGCTCACCGAAACACGTGGACACTTAAATGTTCATCTGAACTCTAATCCTGGTCATTCACAAGTCATGAAAAGAATGCTCTCATGTCAATCTTTGCAAACATTGGTTTATGGAATTGACGTAAAGGAACTTTGCAAGTGCCTTGCTCTGGGAGTGTTCCTTTTGAGAAATACGCGGCCCTTATCCCCCTGTGCAAACAGCATTACGCACCTGAGCGTGGAAACGTCCCCTCTCGGCCATGCAGTAAAGTGTGACCAGGTATGACAAAGCCTTGAATTGAATGCAGCTCCGTACATTGTGTCTCACGTTGATGCAATGTCACGATGAGCACGCGTGGCGTTCAGAGAATTGTTTTAGGTGTCTGGGGAGTAAGTGGTGGTATCTCGTTTTATCGACGCCTATCTCGATGTAAAGTTGCACGATTTAACGATGTCCCTGAATTAATTTACTCGGGACACAATTCTATTCTTTCAAACGATCCACACGTAAACATTACATCACACAAATCACCCATTCAACGACATCCAATGTTCTTGTATTATTTTAATAATTAAATGAGGTAACATAATATATCATAACATATCAGATGTAATTTAAAGAGCATAATATATCAAACAAAAGTAAAGTTAACGATGTTACAAGTACAGAATGAATAACAGAAAAGTGTCCAGAGCTGAAGTAACTTCAGCTGAAGTAACTTCAGCTCTGGAGGTATCAAAGATCTGTCGTGGAGTTTGACTCTCCGCAGACTTAAGTCGTAGAAGGGAAATAATAAAGTAATAAGACGCTGTCTTTCCGACAGCTCTGTTTCTTCACCTGAGGACGGCTGCTTGCGTTGTGGCCGAAACGTCGTGAAAATGTCATTTTATTGTTTTCTTTTTATTAATTTATTTCCCTTCTACGTGATTTTACCGAAAGAACCAAGAATATGAATCCCTGCAGTCACGAAAGCTTTAAATCAGAATATGTCCAGTATCAATATATAGGGACATATCGTGAGGCAAATCTGGCCACACACACCTAATGGATTATCAGATGCACGCCAAACTTCAGCTTTAAATATGTGGGGGGAAATGTCTTATCAGGAGAATACGATGGTAATGTCTCTCCTTCGGTTGATGAAGGGACGGTTTCCAAAATGTTACTTTAAGACAATAATTATTGATTGCAAGAATAATCACATCGTGAGAATCCAAAGTGAAATTGTTTTTGTCTTTAGACAATCAGAAAAAAGGCATGTGCAGTGGAAAAAAGTATTGTTTTCACAGTTGACGGTGAGATTACGATATGCGCGGCTTACAAACAGGGGGTGAATAATTCAATCAGTTGGACTGCTCACGCACCGCCTCATGGTTACTCCAGGAGGACATCAGGTCCAGAGTTCACGTAGAACTGCCAGGTCCTTCCACAGAGTGGCAGACGGCCCTGCTGTGTTATGTGGGATTGTAAAAAGGTTACGTTGGTGTAAGGCCGATGAGATTCAGTCTCCACTCTTTTTCAGCAGGTTCCTGCCGTGAAACATTAAACCGATTGCTTTGTGAGTTGTGTTTGCACGTGGAACGCCACAGCACCTTCACGACTTAGGATCGTAATTCAATTCAAGAATCCGTTATTGTTAGGGCTCGGTTTTGCCGTCTCATTTACCCTGCTTCATACTTTCTTCGTCTCGGTTTGTTGCACTTTGTTCACTCCACGTGCCCACATGGCACCCGAGCGTAGCACACGATTATCATACAATGTGCGTGATTGATTATCACATTCACAATTGGACGGATGTATCGTGAGCATAGGCATAACTTTGGATGAACGATTCGATGCATCTTTGCCTGGCTAACGACACTAATCATTATCTGGATGTGATCACACAGGTTTGTGTGAAACTCCCCAAACATGCCGGGCTGCGACGTGGCCAAAAGATGGCAGTGGAGGGAAATAATAAAATGTGCTTGTGCATATGTAAAGGCATTTGTCATCAGCATAATCAGCGTCTGTGTCACCTATGTTGGGGGAGAAAAATATCCGCGAATTTTGTTTTAAAAAATGTATGGGTGTCTCTTGGCCACATCTAAACCAAGTTGAGTGTCTATCTTAGCTTGATGATTGTTGTGGACTCAATTTACTGATGTTGTAGTCTGCAGTGGAACAACTCAGACATCCAGAATAAACACCTCAATCGAAACGCAACCATTGCACCACCTCCTGGCATTGGTATTCTACCTCGAAGACACCGGCAGTGTAACCATTAATCGCATGAGAACGTCAACAGGCCGGTGCGCACATCTCTTTCATTTAACGAAAAGCCAGAGGAGTGCGACTGTGGCCATGCAACCCAAACTGTGGACCAGCCGCGTGGTGGTGGCCAAGCACGTGGCTTGTCATCCAGACAGTGAGGGAGGCAGCGAGGGTCGGTGGATCTGCCAAATTGCTCAATTTTGCGAGGCTCCCTTTCCGTGGCCATTGATGTGCAACACCTTGGCTCGCCAGCAGAACGCAGGACAGAAAAAAGTGTGGACTCATATAATCTCCCTCTTCTGTATGGGATAGAATGTTGCCCCCTCGCACGGGTGGGTATTCTCTGGGTGGTCCGATTTCCTCCCACATGTATAATACACACTTACTAATTCGCGGAAAACATCTTCATATAGAGAATGTCAGAACAATTGTTGGCAGCGCCAGCTGACCGACCGACTGCCTGCTGCTGCGGCCTTCCAACTCATGCCTACTCAGCGACGATTGCGAGATGCAATCTGCATGAACGACGACGCAAATAAAGAAAAAGAATTGCTAAATCATCTAGTTATCGATTAATTTATTTACGAAGACGAGCACCGGTTGCACGTCCGTTAAGCAATGAGAGAGAGATGACGTGATCCCCGCCCCCCCCTGCGCACCCCCCCCCCCCCAGCTCAGTGGAGGGCGCGAGGCACGAGGAGCGCGGTGCAGAGTGCGGCGAGCAGAGCGAGGCGCGCCGAGGCCCCCACCGCCCCCACCGCAGCCGCTCCTCGGCCTCCCTCGCCGCCGAACGGCTCGGTCGCTCTGCGCAGCCATTCGTGCTCCTTCCTCAGGTTCTGCTTCATCAGCTCGGCGCCCACCTCGCGAGATATGGCATCGTTGTACCGGTTCAGCCACTCCACCTGGGGAACGCAACGCGCCACGCACAGCAATCGGTGGGACCCGTCGCTGATCAAAACAGAAGCCGTGACGGTGGAGTTCGCCGGGACGGCCTGGCGGTCCGTGCCGGCTGGTGGCCGTGCCAGAGCACCCGCGCCAACGCAGCTGATGTCCTGGATTCGAATTTGGTTTGAAGCCACCCGTGATTAACGTGGGTTATCGTGTGTAGTGAGGTCGCTTTAACTGAATTTTTAAATAGACAACAGCACACTTTGAGAGCGTCACGAAAAATAAAAAAATAAAAATATTCCATCAGATGCCAGGCATGGTTTCTTGATGCTGGCGACCCCTGTCAATGCCTCGTGGATGAAGCTCCAGGAGGTATTACTCTAACCGGGGAGAGAAAGTCTCAAGAGGCAGATAGAGAACTAGAGAGAGACAAAGCCGCGTTAAACAGTTGGCGCGGTCTTCAGCCGGGACCTAGAAGTCTCCATCAACTGCAAGTTGCCGACTACTTCCAGGGGCAAGGAACTCCGGAGCCCAGCGGTCAACCCGGCTTTGAAGCCTGCAGCGCGGTGAGGGCGAGGAGGGGGACACGATCGGTGGATCTCAGCGGAGTCTAAGGCCGAATTAAGTTCCGGGATGTAGGCTGGAGCAGGTTGTCCATTGACGTCATCTTCTGGGGAGATTTTCTGACACGATGTGAATTCACACTGCTCACTACGCAACTTCCGTGCCGTGACATCATTAGTATAATTTAAAAATGAATGGGCGAGAGAAAAAAAAATAGCTGTAAGATCTCAAAATGCTATGGCAGGAAGGGCTGGCATCACCTCTCAGTTGCACTTCTGGACAAACCTACGATGGTGCGTTACGTAATCTCGCTCGGTTACCCTGGGCGTGTGCTGTGGTCTCTCAAGGTAATACTCCCAGCATCCCCACCGTCAAGGCAGCTTTCACCTGATTGTGCATTCATTACATGCATACCTTTAAATCCGCGTTAATACTCGTAAAACGATGCCACACATGCATCATTTGTTAAATGTTCTTATAAAATGCAATGTACAATCAACTCCTTGAGAGAACAAACAAAGAATCGTGACTCATAACATCAAATCAACTAAAAATGTCCAGGTGATTTCCTGCTCAAATAATTATCATTGAGGCAGACATCACGTCTTGTTTACAGCTCTGAGCCAGTTGTGGAAATGCCACATTCCTATGACAGGGGCGAGTCTGTCCATTGTGCAAGTGTTGTTGACTTTCACACAACGTTGTACAGGACACTAAATATGTCATACACTTGACCCGGATGCAGAGGGCGGTGATGATGGAAGGACGACGAGAAGGTGCTGGGGAAGAGTCGGACCACGTTCTGAATGAACGTTAGACATCGAGCACGGGACAGGATGGAAACTATCCCAGTTGAACAAACAGAGAGAAGAGAAGTTACCACGACGAGAAGAAATCAGCGACAGAAACGGTCAAGTCCCAACAGCTCAAAAGTCCAGGGGTCGAGAAGAAGACACGCGAACCAAGTGTCCCTGTAATACATCGTTCCGTCGTGGTCAAGAGGGAGACGCGTGGCCTCCTCGTACCCCCTACCTGCTTATCGGACAGCAGTGACAACTTGATCAGCTTCTTCTCGTACGGAACAAGGGTCACGGTCTCGAAGGTCAGGTAGGGCTTCCCTCCAAACGTGTACTGCAGCGGTCAGTCGGCGCACACACACGAGGTTGATCAAGAGGTCATCAAAACAACGGGGCAATGCGGGGCATCGCGTTTGCTGTAAACCAATGAACCGCCCAGCCCAGTCCAGTGTTTTTTAATAGAATAAGAATTTCAACTTGCAACACGCCATTGCCGCACAATGTTTGCTCACTCTCTGCAATTTCCCAAGCTCTGCGGTCCTGTATAAAGTGTTATTGGTAAATTAATGAGTGTTTACACGTGGGAGAAAACTAATGCACGAGAGGGGGAAACACTCAATCCCATACAGACGGAACAGTTGTGAAGTCCACATTGTCTGTACCGCTTTCTCTTGGCTAGAGAGGCTACGGGCTCCTCCTGAACGCCGATGGGAAGAAGGAGTTTCACGATGTTCGTGCCGTGATCCACCGACCCTCGCTGCTGCCTCGACAACGCTGGATCACGTGCAGCAGCGTAGCCGCCGCCACCTCCTCCCGACATCTGCCTATCCCACAGTCCCCAGCGAGTGGGACATGTGATGTTGTACTGCATATAGCATATTAGTAAGCCACTGGAACTCCATATTCGGAGGCCACTGCAGCTATGCACTTTTAAATCTCGATTGAAAACTAAAGACTTTAGAAATTATGTTTGTGTTTAGTTTGGTCTCCTTCCCCGACACCTCCGATTGGCAAGGTTGGATGTGTATGGTGCGAAAGAGGTTCAACATACATGCACATGCAATCGGATAATTATCAAGACGCTTTACAGAAAAAAATAATGAAACAATCGAGATGCTAGAGGAGTGTGCGGGAGGAGAGTTAGCCCTTGGGCCAGACCAGATATCGGTACCACGCAAGGTGGCAAAACTTCAATGGTGCCATTTTATTTGTTACACCAACAGAAGTTAAATAATACGTGATAACCTTTCCAAATGAGCAGCTGTTTCATTTTCCTCGCAGGAAAGCTGTTTTTGCACCTATCGCAAATCACGCCGATCTGCCATGAACATGCTAATCTCTCACATTGACATCACTAGCCCTGTCCACTTCGTTTATGACCCTTGGGCTACACACATTTTAAACCTTTAAAACAGTCTGCCTCAGCAGCTTTCCTCTTTTCTCCTCCTGATGACGATTGCTTGTGTTGTGATCGAAACGTCGTAGTTTGTTGTTATTTTCTTTCAACCTATCTACGTGACTTTACCAAAAGACCCAAAGAATATTTCATAACATACATGCAATTATTACCAATAACTTTTTTTATCCTATTTGGACATGGTTGAAATCTTGTTGGGGCTCATCCGAGCATCCAGAGAGGGAGACTGGTGGGGTACCTACATGACAATGCCACCACATCCTTACCATTAGCGGTGCTATGACGATGTTAGCGTGCATTATTGATGGGGTTTTTTGTCATAATGTATCATTTAAACTTGTAACACACGCAGTATCTGTTCAGAGGCGTGAGGAATGACTTCCGGGTATTGGCCATGAGAGGGAATCGTATTTGGTTTTGGTGTTCGCAGCGCAGTCCGATCACTGCCGCACGACCGCACCACAAAGACACGGTCACACACACACACGTGGAGTGGCACGCATACACACACGTGGAGTGGCACGCATACACACACACACGTGGAGTGGCACGCATACACACACACACGTGGAGTGGCACGCATACACACACACACGTGGAGTGGCACGCATACACACACACACGTGGAGTGGCACGCATACACACACACACGCGGAGTGGCACGCATACACACACACACGTGGAGTGGCACGCATACACACACACACGTGGAGTGGCACGCATACACACACACACGTGGAGTGGCACGCATACACACACACACGTGGAGTGGCACGCATACACACACGTGGAGTGGCACGCATACACACACACACGCGGAGTGGCACGCATACACACACGTGGAGTGGCACGCACACACACACACACGTGGAGTGGCCCGCATACACACACACACGAGGAGCGGCACGCATACACACACGTGGAGTGGCACGCATACACACACACGTGGAGTGGCACGCATACACACACGTGGAGTGGCACGCATACACACACACACGCGGAGTGGCACGCATACACACACGTGGAGTGGCACGCATACACACACACACGTGGAGTGGCACGCATACACACACACACGTGGAGTGGCACGCATACACACACACGTGGAGTGGCACGCATACACACACACACGTGGAGTGGCGCGCATACACACACACACGTGGAGTGGCACGCATACACACACACGTGGAGTGGCACGCATACACACACACACGTGGAGTGGCACGCATACACACACACACGTGGAGTGGCACGCATACACACACACACGTGGAGTGGCACGCATACACACACACACGTGGAGTGGCACGCATACACACACACACGTGGAGTGGCACGCATACACACACACACGTGGAGTGGCGCGCATACACACACACACGTGGAGTGGCACGCATACACACACACACGTGGAGTGGCACGCATACACACACACACGTGGAGTGGCGCGCATACACACACACGTGGAGTGGCGCGCATACACACACACACGTGGAGTGGCACGCATACACACACACACGTGGAGTGGCACGCATACACACACACACGTGGAGTGGCACGCATACACACACACACGTGGAGTGGCGCGCATACACACACACACGTGGAGTGGCACGCATACACACACACACGTGGAGTGGCGCGCATACACACACACGTGGAGTGGCGCGCATACACACACACACGTGGAGTGGCGCGCATACACACACACACGTGGAGTGGCACGCATACACACACACACGTGGAGTGGCACGCATACACACACACACGTGGAGTGACACGCATACACACACACACGTGGAGTGGCGCGCATACACACACACACGTGGAGTGGCACGCATACACACACACGTGGAGTGGCACGCATACACACACACACGTGGAGTGGCACGCATACACACACACACGTGGAGTGGCACGCATACACACACACACGTGGAGTGGCACGCATACACACACACACGTGGAGTGGCACGCATACACACACACACGTGGAGTGGCGCGCATACACACACACGTGGAGTGGCGCGCATACACACACACACGTGGAGTGGCACGCATACACACACGTGGAGTGGCACGCATACACACACACACGTGGAGTGGCACGCATACACACACACACGTGGAGTGGCACGCATACACACACGTGGAGTGGCACGCATACACACACACACGTGGAGTGGCACGCATACACACACGTGGAGTGGCGCGCATACACACACACACGTGGAGTGGCACGCATACACACACACACGTGGAGTGGCACGCATACACACACACACGTGGAGTGGCACGCATACACACACACACGTGGAGTGGCGCGCATACACACCACTGTATCTGCTTTTACGACCATCGCAATGTTCTCCAGACGAATTCCAAACTCGTTGTCCTGGTAGTAGCCAGGTTCTGGCCATGGAACACAAACACACACGGAGCATTGTCAACATTAATAATCACCGACAGTATCTGCTGTGTGTTGGGTAGTAGCGTGTGCCAAGCTAGCCTATAGTAGTGTTCCAGGCGTGAAAGAAGTGACGCTGTGATTCTCACCTATGGAGGTGAACATCCCTTCGCGCAGACCAATGTCGTAGGATGTCCCGATTCCCACAGGCCCTGTGTGGAGAGAGCGCCCAACATCCGACAGCCGCACGCCACTCGCGAGTGGGGACATCCACCGGCACAGCCTCAACGGAGCAACAACCAACTACATTGAGACGCTGCCCTCGGAGTCTTGCACAAAGACAAATCGCAAAATAATATAGGATACATTCCTCAAGAGCCCTGGCCTAAGACAAACAACAACAACAACAACAACATTATCCCACCGTTTAGGTGGCTCGGCGATTAAGCGAGCGGCGCCCAATTGGAAGGTCGAGAGTTCAAATCCTGTTTGAGGTGTTGATTCAGCCCATCATCCCTCCCAAGGGTCGATAAAACAGCTACCCATTTATGGGGGAGTTAACAGTGTTTGTTCTATAGATATACTTTCCCTGCCATAGGAATGTGGAATTTCTATCACTGGCTCAAGGCTGTAACCATGAGATAAGCACCATCTAATTTCATAAGGAAATCACTTTGTATGGTGATGGCCCAACTGCAGAGCAGTTCTGCTCTCTCAAGCTCTCACCCACACTCGTGTCTGTGCACACAAAGATGAAGATCCCTGTGAAGTATGGGAATTGACGGCAGGAACTTCTTGACGGGAACACACTTTTTATTAAATCTTTACGTGTCAAAATACAACGTGTAGTCTCCTTCCTTCCGACTTCACACTCCACTACTCTCGTGTAAACTCTAGGCCTCTGGCTACACACGGTACCCTTCACTCGTGTAGACCCTACGCCTCTGGCTACACAATACACTCGACTCGTGTAGACCCTATGTCCCTGGCTACACAATACACTCGACTCGTGTAGACCCTATGTCCCTGGCTACACAATACACTCGACTCGTGTAGACCCTATGTCCCTGGCTACACAATACACTCGACTCGTGTAGACCCTATGTCCCTGGCTACACAATACACTGCATTCGGCTCGTGTAGACCTTACGCCTATGGCTACACACACTACACTCGCCTCTGGGTTACACAGAGTCCCGGTCCCATTAGGACAGCGGGACTAGGTACCGCAGGGCCCTAGGTCTTCATCCCCGTCTTCATTCTTCGCTGGTTACACTCTGCCCTCACGCCTGTGTGCATCCCCTTTTATAGCCCCTGCTCACGAGAGGCGGAGCTGATGCGTACTTCAGCGTGAGCATCGCTCCTTAATGAACCAATCACGACGCACTCTCTCTACGATCCGGTTTCCCCAGCGCGTGTTAACACTCCTCCACCAATCACACCGCGCTGCCACCCGATCACTCCCTCTCAGCACGTCACCGGTCCACAGCCAATCAGTACCCCGTAACCCACGACCCCGCGCTGACCCCTGATCCTCCACCGTCAGCGCACGTCACCACCTACACAGCCAATCATTACGCGCTGGCATACGATCTCTAATTCCAGCGCGTATCACCTCTACACCTGTATTAGTCTTAACAGACTGTTCGCGCAAGTGCTGTTTGGCGAGCACCTACGAAAGGCCAGCAGATCACACAAGGGAATGGGTGGCAAACACCACGCCCGGCCGCATTTGTCTCCCCCGTGAGCATGTTAATACACTGCACCAAGTACTCATTTGAGGCCGAGTTGACCTTGGGGAGGCAAAGTATCAGTTCAGGTAATCGTCGCTGGTGTCGACTGTGAGCAGGAATCGAGCCCAGGTGACCGGGTTTTGACTGCAGCACGCTAACCGCTACACTACCGCTCCCAACAACAACCGACATTCGCCACTAAGTGGCGGTGACATCACAACGGCGCTTGTGCCAGGCTATGTGCATGTTAAGGCCACGTGAAGTGTCGAACGCTCGCTGGCAGGAGGTCACGGGACAGACCCAGGTGCCATGGGTCGACTGACTGAGATGACTGGCCGATGCACCACCTGTGCCCCCTACTGTACCAACTTGCTGTGTTTTAGCCATCCGGCGTTCTGTTCGTTGTTGTGAGCGTTGCTCCTCGGCCCTCCGTTGTTAATGGAGGGCAACTGCCTCCAACTGCCCAGCAGCGTCCTTCACGAGCCTCCTCCACAGAGGCTGATCTTGACACTGTTGGTACCAGTCATTGGCAAGTCCACTCAGCTCCACATCTTCCTGTACTACATCACTCCATCTCTTCTCTAGCCCGTGCTGCTCCCGTTTAGCCCTTTCTATCCGGCCGAACAAAAGCTGTTTAGGCATGCGATGGCTGGGCATGCAGGTTACATGACCCAGCCAACGCAGCCTTGCCTGCCGAAGGAGCTCACCGATGGGACTTTGTCCAGATCTTTCAATTATTTGTGGGCTCCTCACACAATACAGCCTGGTTAAGCCCAGGATGGATCGTAGGCAGGCCAGCCTAAATGTTTCTAATCAGCGAAGTCGTGCCATTAGGGGGGTCCACGTTTCGCAAGCGTAGAAAAGGGAGAGCATGACCGTGGCCGAGAAACCCCGAAGCTTCATGTGGAGCGACAGACCAGGTAGTTTCCACACCGCATTACGTAGCCAATGAAAAGATAATGCTGCTCGACTTATTCGGAGTGAGACCTCTGCTGTCATGAGCACTGTCCAGGTATGGAAAACTCTCCACAACTGCCCCATCACCAATTGGGAGTTGTGGGGGTGGAGTGACTAATGGTACAATATACCCAAGCAGGTGCTTAGTTTTGGTGGAGCTGATGGTAAGGCCCCACCGCTTAGTGGCATGCTCCAAAAGTTGAGCAGCAGCGCCTTCAACTCCTCCTCTGAGTGAGCAGAAATCACCAGATCATCGGCGTACGTAACATGGTTGACCAATAAGGAGCCATCCCTTGACCGCACCCTGGGCATCAATTAGCCTCCCGTTGTATCTGCACAAAATGGTAATTCCTTCCAGTACAGCCATCGAAGGCTTCACGAACTACGTGGTCAAAAGAGATGTAAAATAATGTGGGAGCCAGAGGACATCCCTGTCGCACCCCAAGGTGAAAAGGGAATTGCTCCAACTCCCAGCCATGTAGTTTTACCTGGGCCCGCTCACCACCATGAAGGTCCTTAATGATCGTGAGCAGAGGGTCAGGGACTCCGAAAGCACGAAGAACAACCCAGAGCCCAGGCCCACTGATGGTATTATAGGCCTTGACCAGGTCAATAAAGCAGATATGTAGTTCTTGTTGGAATTCCCTACACCTCTGCTGTAGCAGATGGACAGAAAATATGGCATCGGTCCAGGACTGCTCTTTCCTGAAACCACATTGGGGCTCCGCAAGCCTTTCCTTAGCGTGCCTGGCAAGGCGATGTTGAATGATCCTTGCCAGGACTTTTCCCGGCACACTGAAGAGGGAGATGCCCCTGTAGTTGATACAGTCTGTGCAGTCCCCCTTCTTAAAGGAGGGGGACTCACCAGGGCATCCTTCTAATCCTGCAGAACACATCCAGTGGTCCAGACTGTTATTGTGATATCATGTAAGGCAGTCTGTGCACAAACGCCACCCTCCCTCAGCATTTCGCTTGGGAGATCATTTCTGCCTGGTGCTTAACCTGGTCTCAGACTATGGATCGCCTTCTGTATTTCCTCAACAAATGGCACCTCAGCCAGCCACTCACAGGGGGGCACGACAGCCTCACCAGGGCCATTCCCACTTTTCCCCATGTTTTCCAGGCTGAGGGATTTCCCCTCCTCCAGACCTCCCAGAAATGCTCAGCAAATGTGCAAACTTGTTCCTTGGGGCCAGAGATCGGATCACCTTTTTTCCCCCTAATAATGGTGATAGGTGTGGCACTGCAAGTCACTTTTTTGAAGGGAGTTAAAGAGTGATTTGTGATCACGGGCTACTGAGGCAGACTCCATCTCCTCAGCAAACTGCAACCACCACCCATCCTTGCAGCACCTCACGGCTCTCCGAACCTCCGAGCGAAGGCTGATATGGGATGCTGTAGACAGTGAGAGTGGGCCTGTCGCTTATCTCAGCCAGCCTGAACACCTCCTCTGTCAGCCATGGTCTCTGGGGAGGTCTCGACCGTGTACCCAAAGCAGCCATTGCAGTTGCATGAGCCACAGTCCTAAATCTCGCACATTTACCCTCGGCATCAGGAGGAGCTGTAAGTGATGATGAAATTCTCGCTTGCAACTTTCATCAGCTAGCTGAGACCAGGCCACTGTGTGTTTGAATGGGGTTCTGGGTGTACACTCACCACCGGAGTGGAACAATGGCAGGCGCATCTTACAGATCACTCTTACACACACGCTCATACACTCTTGCACACACACACTCATACCCTCGTACACACACTCTTACACTCATGCACGCTGAGAAAGTTGCCGATGCCATGGCCGGTGCCGTGGCCATAGTTGAGTCCAACCTCCCACAGCGCATGCCTCGCCCACGTGTCCAACCGGGCCCCTGGGGCACAAAAACACAGACAGGCACACACAGACACATATATACAGAAACAGAGAGATGAAGAGAACACAGATAGATAGAGAAACAGACACAGAGATATAGTGGCACATACAGATATACAGACAGAGGCAGATGGCCCTGCCAACCCTTGACAGATTCTGGCTCTAAAAATAAATGTGGGCAACTCGAGTTGAATGAAAATCTGAGAATGCGGTGCCGGCGGAAGCAACAGGTGGAGTGAGTGGCTCGTGCTGAATGACTTTCGTGGTGGCTTCTTCCCCTGTGGCTGTGAGCACGCACTGCGCTGATCTCAAGCACTGCTGACTGAGAGGGTTTTTCGAACTCATTCTCGCAAATCAAACAGGACTCGTACTACTCTCCCTTCGTTGTCATGCACTGTGGTATCTAAAACAGCAATATTATATCGCTTTTTCCACAGTACAACCAAGCCGTGCCGAGCCAGCCTGGGGTGGCTGAGGAGGCGACAGGTTGTTTTTCCACTGCAGAAGCGAAGCCGAAGCACTAACGTGCACGCAGTGAACGAGTGGAGATTCGTGTAAGTGGTGCTGTGACACCACGTCCTCACCACGTACTGACTGACGTCACAGGCAACGAATAGGTCATTAGCCCCGCCCCTGGCCCTGCTTGGCCCCGAGCCAGATTCAGACTTCTTGTGAGGCCAACAGCGCTGCACGGCTTGATGCTGGCTTGGCATGGCAAAAAGCCCCAGTGGAGAAACCACCCGTGGCGAGATGGGCCTCGTGCTGGCTCGAATGCGGCAGTGGGACGGGCCGCGAGTGTGGAAGGGGCGACTCACCGAGCGTGTTGTCGGGAAAGATGGCCTGGCTGAGGTCGATGCTCCCCATCAGCACTCGCGTGTACGCTTCCTGCGCCGGGGTGGAGCACCACGACCGTTAAGACAGAAACCGCGTGGACAGAGTCGCAGGCAGTGCCTACATCTCGATGTGGATTTGTATGTATATCTAACAAGCGGGGTTTGATTTGATTGGGGGATTTCCCTGGCTCTGATTTTTATTTTATATTATCTCTGAGACTGCATCTTTAATTTTTATCTTCAAGTGGGATACATTCATCCCTCCCCCTGATAACAGATTGTGTATTTACATTGCCAGGGTTGATCCTGGTGAGTGCTTGAGTAGGAGATTAGTGCTTGAGTGGCTGCTTGGGATTACCAGGTGATGGCAGCACCCACCTTCATGAAGTCCGTCGGGACTCCCCAGTGCAGGGTGCGAGTGATGTCCGTTGTTCCATCTCTGCAGGGGAGTGTGTGGGATACACGTGCGGCACAGAGCACGTGAGAACTCGGGCCTTTGGGCCGCCAGCAGTAAGACGGTGGGGCGGCTCGTCAGAGCTGTGGTTGAATAGCTGTCCACAGCGTGAGAGATGTTTTCCCCATTGAATAGTGAGCGTGGCACGTATCTCCTGTCTTACAACTCTGAGCCAGTGGTGGAATTTCCACGTTCTTGTGGCCTCTCTCCTGGTCACCCGAACTCGCTTGTGTTCAGGCGGCTACTACCATTTAGCCAGTGGTGCTGCTAGGATAAATCAAATGATTATATTTTTGATGAATAAACTCCTCGTGGGATGGCAGAGGGGAATAAATACACGAGAGTGAGGAATGTCGACAAAAGATGATGCGGTGCGATGAGAGATGTCGACAGGGGACAGATGAAGTGACGAGAGAAAATAGTCAAGATAGCCACGAGAGATACATCTGTTTATTGTGTGGATTATAACTTTAATTCAAGCTTACGTTTAGTTCACTTATACATTTCTCATGAATCCTGGGACCCCTTGGGCTGCTTGGGGCCCCTGAGGTTTGCATAGGCCTAGCGACGCCACTTGCGACAACCCACCGGTATTGACCTCCAGAGTCGAACAGGTACATCTCGCTGGCGGTCAGTTTGCGGTTCGTCTCATTGCTGGCACTGAAATGAAACGGCGCGTGGTATTGATCACTGGAACACGTCACGGCAACTCGTGCACCCCACCAAACAACAAAGATCCCCCGTATAGCCTTTACAGACAGTCGGGGCAAGTGCTGTTAGCGAGCACCTATGAAGGCCGAAACGACACATAAGGCCAGCACCACGCCCAGCCGCCTTTGTCTCACCAGTGGCGATGTTTTACGCACCGCAGCAGGTACTTATTTGAGGCTGAGTCAACCTAGGGGAGGCCCAGGACCGGTTTAAATAATCGTCACTGGTGTTGGCCATGAGCGAGAATCAAACTCGGGTCACCAGGTTCATAGCGCAGCGTGCTAACTCCTATACTACCGCTCCCCGCTGAAAAACCGCGACACGACTGTACCCCACCACCACAATGACCAGCACGACGTTTGTTTACCTGAAAACGCCTCGCTCAGTCTCAGGACTCTCTTGCAGGACGGTACTGGCAAGCTGTCGCAGTAGGGGGCGATGTTTATGCGACTGTTGCTGCTGTGATCCCAATTGAGTCATTTTACAACGTGCTTTTTCAGCATTGAGATATATGTTTTTCCGACACAGTGACCTTGCGTGATGATGAGCGATGGGAAGCGACTGGAGAACCCACAGGATCCCCGCGTCAAACAGGGGCAGAACGAACTCCGCACGGAGGTGCCCCAGGCGAGAATCGAACCCTTCTCACTGTGACGTGAAACTATTACCACTACGCGGCTGCCACCATGCCACCCACAAGCATGATGCATCGCTGTACAACTTGCGCGTGTTCACAAGTATTTCATTCGTGGTGTGAAATCCGACAGCTGTCAAGGTATAATTACACATGGTCCTATGTGCTGTGCTCTGCACGTCCAAGAATCGAGCAAATGCTTTGATCGATGTGGCCGGTTCTCAAGAGGCAGAGAGCTGCTTCATATTGAAGCGTCTCTCCTCCCTGTTACAGACCAACGGATGCACAGAGCTCCTGAAGCACTGCACTGTGGCTCATCTCCTCTGAAGCCACCATCAAAAGAGTTGAGCAAATGTACCCGACTGACAACAGCAACAGTAAATACAACAAGTTGACCAGTTTCATTATTATTAGGGCTCTCCCCTCCCCGTGGTCCCCCCCCCCCCTTCTGGTCTACCCCCCATCTTGCCCCCTCCCCCCACCTCTCCAAGTCGAAGGGACCCGCACCTGCCTGGCGCCACCAGCCCCAGGGCTCTCCCCTCCCCCTGCTTCAGCGTCTGTCCCAATCCATTGCCACTCTCCCCCTGCGCGCGCCTCTGGTTAGACCCTGGCCCTTGAAGCCTCCTCCAACTCGCCCTCGCGGGGGCCTCGACGATTTCCTCGAGGTGCAGTGCCCACCGCCTGCCTCTGCATTGGCGCCAGCCAGAGCCCTATGCAATCGTTAACATCGCATAGACCCGGCTATGCCACCTTGCGACTTTAGCTGCACGGTGGTGCTCCCGTCGCTGATGGTGTGTTTCTGCGCAGCCTACTGCACTCCCCCTACCTGCACGTGTCTACTGTGACCCATTCCATAGGTGATGCAGTGCACAGCATTGGCCCTCAATGGCACCTGTAGTGCGCCAGCGCGCCGTTGAGTCCACTTGCCGAAATGGTCTCAAAACTGGGACCCTCGGAAAACGCTTGATTCCTGAAACAAAATGGCAACACACGTCGGTTAGCGTAACACGGCGTTCTCTTGCTCATGGAACCCCACATTTAGACTGTGTCCTTCTGTGGTTACTGTGCAGCAGTGACCTAAGACCATCACCAGTAACGGTTATCTTAACCAGTCCTGGGCCTCCCCTAGCTCGACTCAGCCTTAAATGAGTGCTTACTGCGGTATGAAAAACATCGCCACTGGGGAGACAAAGGTGGCCGGGCGTAATGTTGGTCATCCAGTCCCTTCATGCGCACTTGTCCCAAAAGTCTGCTTAGGCTATCAGGGGGATCTTTGTCTTTGCCGTATTCCCAAGTTCAACTCAGGCTTTGCTTAAAGGGCGGATATCTGTAGCCATCCGAGGACTGGCGACAGGCCACGTGGTCGTTGTGAACGGGTCCCCAGGTGGTCATAACGACCTTTCTGCTGGAACTGCGATTGACGACGTGTCTTCAGAGGTTCCACGTTGAGTTCAATACACAAGAATGTAAATCTGAAACACGAAGCATTTACCATCAGCTATAGATACCCGTACGTGCTACCTCGGGCCCCCTGCCTCTCACAGTTGACCACGGGCCGGGAGGAGAGGCAGCGTCGAACCCAGTGACATGAAGAATGTTGTCGGGAGGCTGGCGTGCTGTAATGATCAGCACACCGGACTTGCAACCCAGAGTTCGCCGGTTCGATACCATCTCCTGGCAGTTTAAATTCCGGTTCAAGCTTTTTTAATTATACAACCCCCCCCCCTTCTGCACCGATGTCCACCCAGCTGTCTACATTGGCACACCACAGTTAGTCTACGATCGGCATTTCGCGCGTGGTGAGGTAAAGTGTGGGTACTCCGGGGAGGTCCTCGTCCACCAGAAGTGCACTGCGTGGCTCCCATCGCTTGAACAATATTGGCTCATCGCGAGTGGGTGCGTGTGAGGAGACTGAATGAGGGAGTGTGGCCGTGGTTGATGGGTAATGGGTGTGGTTCTCTAGCCACTGGGCTTCGTTTTAATCTGGAATAGTTCAAACCGCTGTGCCGGGATTTTGTTGATTCTGATTCCGTCTCGCGTCACTCATTTGAGATATCGTGATCTAAAGCCATACTGATGACAACGGTGCGTCCAGGCATCTCATCTGTATAAACCTGTGCATAGGATCGTGTTGCCCTGTCCTTTGCTGTCAATGCAGCCCACAGCAGCCTAAATATGGATACAATAATACAGGACTATAATGTGGTCGTGCCTTATGGCGACCATCCCTACTCCAAGCCAAGCAGCGTTCTTGATCCCACCGAGTAAGAATATGAGGCCACCCTGGCAGTGCTATGGATACAGGATCGTATCAGAAGCTAGTGGAGGGGGTGGCGATGGTGGGCTGGGGATGGGTCTGGATGGTGCGGGAGGAGTCTGGACCCGCGCAGGAGGTCCAGGTGCAGCTGGCCTGACAGCTCCGTCACCGTCCCCTTGGGCACGTTCTCCTCCAGCCACACCATGTACTGGATCACCGCCACAGCATCGCGTATCTGTAACACAGACCAAGATCCCCCCCGTCGCCTTTAACAGACTGCTGTGGCAAGTGCTGTTAGTGAGCACCTATTGAGGCCGGTACGGAACATGAGGCGGTGGGTGGACAGCACCACGCCCTGCTGCCATCGTCTCTTAAGTGACGACATTTACACACCGCACCAGGAACTCATTTGAGGCCGAGTCGACCTAGGGAGGCTGACGATTGTTTCAGATATTCGTCACTAGTGTTGGTCGCCATGAATGGAAGTCACACTCAGACTGCTGGGTTTGTAGTGCAAGGCAATAACCATTACACTACCGCTCCTCATGCATCTGTAACACGCACGTGCACACACGCATACATGTTCATGTGCTTTAGGATAGATCAGATGAAACAGTGTCTGCTAGACTGAGTCATGAACCATTGTAGTAGCAATATAAGAGTGATACGGATATGGCTGTCCACCGGTGAGCGAGTGAGTTTAGCGAGTCAGTGAGTGTTGCATCATCAATCAGCATGACTGCTGCTTTATCTTGAATTCAGCTAAGTGCAGGGGGGTACGAACTAGATAATCTACCCCAGATATGACATCAATCTAATTTGTCTTGTACAGCAGTGATACTTGCCCATTGCCTAGAGTTAGACCAATGTGTTGATGCCATTTTAGCCATATCGGTAACATAGCCATTACTGAACATGACACTTGAGATATCGTGCCAAGCTAATTAAAGATGCCAATTAATACACATGGCAGTATGAGCACAAAGAATAACGGAGACAGAAGAAACCATGTGGATCAGAGAACAAATCCAAAAGCAAACACATCATCTTGACTGTTAAGAAAAGAGAGTGGGTAGAAGACATCACTCGAGGGCATGGTGGTTGGTGGTCGAGACTAGTGATGGAACAGCAGCCAAAGTCGGGGAAAAACTCGGATGTCCACCGTGGAGATTGAGCGACCAGTTCCAAACAGTGAGAGATGGCGACGGCTTGGTGAGGCCTTCATCCAGCAGTGGACAAATCATGGCTGATGATGATGATGATGCTGCAGTGATTGTGAAGTAAACGACAAATTACCCAGCGTCCCCCTACCCTGCTGTCGATGGCGTTGACATCCGAGAGGCTCAATAAAATACAGCCACGTGAATGAGCGGCAGAGCGAGTGGCTCGCAATCGGGAGGTCGTTGATTCAGGGGTTGATTCAGTGCCATCGTCCATCACGGAACGATAAAATAAGTACCACTTGGTGAGGGAGCCAACAGTGGTTGTTTTATGGATAGACTCGCCCCAGGCATAGGAAAGAGGAATTTCCACCGCTGGCTTAGGGTTGTGAACGGGGGAGATGACCACCGTTGCAATGCTCATGTAAGCAAGGCCTCCGTCACTTGGACGTCGTGTTGTCAACTGCAGGTGCCATCGACCCCACCGCGTGCGGCTGTGCGGCGCCGCGACTCACATGCGATGACTTGAGTGCCTCCCGCTCTTGCGGGTTCTTGACGGCCTTGGTGAGCTGCACGGGGGAGAACTGCTCCATCACCAGCTTCTCCTGCAGTGCCACGGCCGGAGGGACGGGAAGATGGCGGAGTCAGCGCACACGCCACAATCACCAGCAGGGCACGCCCAGACGGTCTCCCTGCAGCGTTGTCCACGTGTGCGGGTTACCAGCTAGTCATATGTTTGCCAGAATTGGCCTCTTGTTGAGGAGGCAGCTGCTTATGGGAAACCTGTAAGTCTCCACAGGACATTACAAGTCCCTGGATTGCGAAGGAAACCAGTAAAGTCCGCGCTCCTCCCGCAGAGGAATAGCAACACTGGACACAAACTCTCTGCTGAAGCCCTCTCATCATGTCTAGCAGACCTTGGCAATGGCATTTAGTTTCGGAAGATTGCTTCATACGCAAGAATATAATTAAAAGTCCCACATTTTGTGAGTTCACCACTAAGGCTAGGTGCACATTTAGGCCATGTGAAGTGTCAATCGCTCTTTGGCAGGAGTTCACGGGACAGAACCAGGTGCCATGGTTTGACAGACTGATACACACACATAGCAAACACATAATGACACATATATAAACACGTTAACTCTGTAACTTTCATAATTAATATTGCACCTAACAAATAAATAAATAAATGCGTATATTTATTTTATTGCACACACTGCCTTTTTTGTATAAAGCACCGTAGCCCGAAAAGTTTCAAATGTTGTGCAAGTGAGTTTCAATTCAGTATATAAACTAGCTGAGATTGGTAACTTCTTTGACTTTGCCTGGGGAGACCGCTCCGTCTGTGTGGGACCTTTACTCCGGGGGAGGGGAACCGTAGAAGCGTTCTCATTCAGCGGACCGAAGAGCGGCGCGATCGTTGGACGCTCCCGACGCCGGCGTGGGCTCTGACCTTGGGCAGCAGGCGGTAGATGCCGTAGGTGGTGAACTCCTCCCCGGCCCACACGCGCACGTCGCCCTTGCCGTAGGCGAGCAGGTCCGAGCGCACCGCGCCGTAGTCCCGCAGGGTCAGCGGCCCCACGGGAGACTCCGTGTCGTTGAAGATCGCATGCAGCTCGTCGCCCACCTTGTGGAGGTCCAGGTACAGCCTGGAGGGAGCAGGAGGGGGGGGCAGGAGGGGGGGGGCAGGAGGGGGGGTCAGGAGGAGGAGGAGACGCGAGGTGAGTCACTGCGATCAAAATAAGCCAGGACTGGTGGCACTGTTGGGGTGGCTTCTGCGCTCAAGCTTACGGCTGCCTCCGTACTCGGGGAGAAGGCTACGAGTTTGACACCGAAATCGTTTGGTTTGTTGCCCTTCATCCGCACCTCCGATTCGCGTGGTTGGCTACGTACAGTTCGAAATAAGTTCAACGTACAATATGTACAAGCACATTAGATCAGGCACTTCCTGTCTTTACCCATATAGTCACTACGTAAATACGATTATGTAGTATTCACGAACTAATGCACATCAGTGATATTATATTGATTGGGCTTGGGCTGGACGTGCACAGCCAAAATTGACAATGGTCGGCGTTGGAGACTAACGACAGAGCGGCAGCTAAAGGAGGGAACGCGACCAAGAGCTCGTCCACCGCAGAGATGAAGCCATGAAATCGGTTTGCGTTGTTTGTTGCACCACTCATAGCGAATAGCAACACACGGCTTCATCCAGCAGTGGATTGATCATGACCCAGGACGGTGTGTGGCTACCTGGTTTCGTTGAGCGTGAGGAAGGCGTAAGCGAAGAAGAACGGATTGTAGGGGATGTCATTGCAACGGAGGTTGAACAGCCCTGCTTGTGGAAAATGATAAGCACACGCACACACACACACACACGCACACACGCCACACACAGACACACACACACGCACACACACACGCACACACACACACGCACACACACATACACGCACACACACACAGACACACACACGCCACACACACACAGACACACACACGCACACACACACATACATGCACACACACACGCACACACACGCACACATACACAGACACGCACACACTCCACACACACACACGCCACACGCACACACACGCACATACACGCACACACTTTTGTTGACGAGCACGTATAAAGAATGACATGGCGCAGGTAGTGTAGCCAGTACCATGCCTAACCACATTTGTTTCCCCTCTGCCGATGTTTACATACAACACCGGGTACTCAGTGAAGGCTAAGTCAACCTAGCGAAGGCCTATGACCGATCCCGATAATCACCAATAATGTTAGCCGGGGATGTTTAACCCGGGTTGTGGAGAAGTTTGTGATGTCCACGAGTGACCTGTTTGTGATGCAGTTGACCAACTCCTAGGCCAGGTTCGAAAACCAGTAGGTGGAGGAAGTATACTTCAGCAGCCTCCTGGAGCCAATATTTCCTGGGCAATTCCTCCCCCCTCCTCACTTCCCTTTGATCTCAGGGTCCTGGACAGGATCTGCTTGGACTGGGTGCGAGTGATCCTGATGACCCCTCTGCTGGGGCAGGAAGCCCAGGTTTCCCGAGCTGGTGGAGATGTCCGTGGATAGCTCTAGGTGGTTACTGCCGGATCACCCTATGCCCTCCACACACGAGCCTAAAGCTGTTCAGGCTCGCGGCACAAACAACAAATGGCAAGCGCTCGAGAGAAAAGGATCTGGTCACGGAAACGTCCAGGCCATGAGAGTGGCATCTGACAAACATGTCACGGGTATGATGTATCAATACTGTACCATTGGAAATCGATTGGTATTTTGTTCCGTGATAAGGAGGTTCTTGTTGGAGATCATCCCATACCATTACTGCTGGAGTTCTTGCTCTGGAAATTTGACAATGGCTTGGTTGCATCGACAATCAATATTTGTTTTGTGTGAAAAATGATCATGAGTTTTGTGACAAAATATTACATTAATTACCATGATAATATGATAATGCAAATTATGTTGATGGTGTTGGTTATGATGATGATAATATAATTATAGTGGTGATGGTGATGACAGTGATGCTGATAATTGTGTACATTTTTGGTTAGCGATGATGGTGATTGTGTTATTGATGATGCTAATTATGATTGTGTTATTTATGATGATGATGCCGATGATGGTGCGTCACTCACAGGCACACTCATCTAGTGCGGACAGGATGAGAGCTGTGGGCTTGAGCGAGTGCTCCCGCATTAGTGAGCGCGTCTTCTCCACCTTCTGCACCCACGTGCTGCCTACACGCGCCGGTCATCACCATCACAACCACGATCACCACCACGATCACCACCACGATCACCACCATCACCATGTTTACCACTACAATCATCATCACATTAATTATTTCTAGATTTGAAGCTTTCATGACTGCAAGGATTCATACGCTTTGGTTTTGTCGGTAAAGTCACGTAGGTAAAAAAAAAATTCTAACTAAATTAAATCATTTCATTTATTTTCTTTTATTTTTACCTACGTGACTTTACATTTGTAGAGCTTGAAACAAGTGTCACGCGCTGGGTCGATATGCGCACATGTGGCGGACAGTGAGGGCGAACGAGGACACAGGGTGCTGATTGGCTAGCCGTTGTTGTTGTACAAATTAAGGTGGCGTGATAGTTAAGGGGGCCGCAGGTGGCCGGGAGTAATTGAGGATGCAGGGCGCTGATTGGATGAGAGGGACTGTTGTCTGACATTGGCGCCGGCGTGTCTGGAACAACAACGCCACGTGGCACCGGGGGCTGGGGGCGAGTGGCGTCGCAGGGGATGACCTAATTAATTAAGGGTAATTGGTTCGGGGATAAAGGGTGAGATGGTAGAATTAAATGGGAGTTGGTGCCTGGGACGAGAGACGAACGGATGGAGAGACGGAGCAGCGGATAGAGTTAGTATAGCATAGGGTAGCAGTGGATAGAGTACAGTATAATGTAGCAGTGTATAGAGAGAGTACAGTATAGGGTAGCAGTGGATAGAGTGGGTACAGTGTAGGGTAGCAGCAAAGTAACGGAAGCATCAGTGGAGAGAGAGACGACGAAGAATTACGACGGAGTGGGATGACGGAGTTAATAAAGAGCAGCCGAGCTGGAGAGAGCGGAGAGGAGAGTCGCTGGAGGAGCAGGGGAGAGCGAGCGAGGCCAGCGGAGCGCAGTGAGCGAGCGGAGGGACATTGAGTGATGTTGACGGGGAGTCGTGGGTTGGAGTGTATGGAGGAACGTTGAGCGGTGTCGATGGGAGAGATGTGGAACTGTATGATTGAATAAAGAACCGAGGAAAGACAAAGAAGCTGTCGCGTCGGTACGAGCACTACACATTCATTATTGTCATTATAACAATCGTAATGATAATAATCATCACCATAGCATTCGTTATAATAAAAGAAATATTATAGTCATAACAATCAATCATAATAGTGTGTATGTCTGCATTTGTGTATGTGTCCATGCGCCCATGTGTGTACATGCCTGTGTGTCGGTTCGTGTCCAGCAAAACAACCCCCTACTTCCTCGCGGTGCCAGACTGGGCAACACTGTCGTGGACAATGCTGTGGGGGGAGGGCCAATGCCCATTGGCCTCTCCCCTCATGGCGTCTGTGACCACCACAGTGGCTAAACGGGGGCTCTGGATGGGTGCGGTGGACTGGTAACCCCTCCACCCTCAATTTATTACCACGAAACTACGAATTAAACATAAATATGTAAGAAATAAGCTTGTGCCGGAGACCCCGGGGGGACAGGCATCTATGACGTCTCCTGGCCAAACCCCAATTGGCGGAGCCAGGAGATTGAATCTTCACCCTCGGGGCTCCTCCAGAAACAACGAAAAGCCACTACTAATGGCCACGTGGAATGTTCAAATGCTCACTGCGGAGGAGAGGCTGCCACTCCTGGGTCTGCCCCGTGACCTCCTGCCAGCGGGCGTTCGACACTTCACGTGACCTCAAGGTGCACATGGCCTGGCACAAGCGTCGTGGTGACATCACCGCCACTTAGTGGCGAATGGCGGTTGTTGTTGTTGTCTGTTCATGCCATGTGCCTGTGTGTGCATAAATGTCTCTGTTATGTTTGGCAGCGACTCAATCATTATAAATGTGTAGAGGGTACTCGTCTTTATTCTGCGTACGGCACAGCACAGGCCAACGTTATCGGCTTCCTCTCCAAGTACACACTTAGATATTACATTCTACAGACTACACACACGGTCGATCAAACGGCGGGTTCTGTCCGCCCGCTCCCAGTCTCGCCGCTGGCTGACGGCGTGCCGGGGAGGGCGGTGGAGCTCCGCCGGAGATCCGCCACGTGGCCGAATGACGGAGAGAGATGACGGCGAGCAGCGACGCAGTCCGAATCCAAGACTCCCCACACCAACCCCGAGTCCTCCTCCGCCTCCGCTTATATTGCCGCAGGCGCTGCTAGGCTCCGCCTCCGGCCACGCCCTCTTGTGGAACTTTCTAGCCGGTTCTCGGAGTTTCTCGGCCGGCCCTGTAGATACTTTGCCCTTTGGGGATGGGATAATGTTTATAATGGTGCCTGTACCCGTGCTTCCCTTTACCAACCAGTAGATATCACTATCTCATCACAAATGGACTAAGTGTGTTTATGTATACGATTTACATCTGGGCCTGGGCAGGCTCGTATTTAGGCAGAATTCACGGCTCTAAAACGGGAGAGTTAAAACACAGTACAGTTTCCACAAAATTCTTGGCTCGACAGAATTTAGTGCGGCATCACTCGGCCTAGTAGAGGAAGAAGAATAGCAGTCCCTGACCAATTTAGGACGAACAGAAGTTTGAAGAAGTTTTTTTTTAAATGAGTAACGGCTGATGAAAAAGGATGGGCTTCGGGGACTGTCTAAAATAAATGAGAAATGACCACTTAGGTGGCCAAATCCCGGATAGCCACCACAAATCTGCTGTTTTGTTTAGAACTGCTTTTTGTGTTTAGTTTGTTGTCCTTTCCCGGCTTCTCTGCTTAGCACAATTGGCTACGTACAGTACGACGTAAGTTCAACATACATACAATCTTAAACATGTCAAACCTCAAGTTTTCACTTATCATATAAAAGCTGCATCTGCTGCCTCTATGGGGTTTTGTTGAATTGAATACATTTCTTAAATTACAAATATTCTGAGATATTGGTTTCATTGTCAACATCGGTTCAGCCGCTTGACTCTCAGTGGCAGGGGATGTGGGGAAGTGCTGCCCCCTGCTGTGTGGAGCGGAGCTCACTTTACGACATCTCAGAAGCAGTTCTTCAATGCTCTCTTCTGCGGGCCGTTCTCTAACATGAAGCACAATCGGAATGCAGCTGTGGGGTGGCAGAACTATAAATAAAGCATACAATTTACTTCACCTCAAAAAGGGTCACGAGGTAGCTTTACCGGTGAACTTGTCAGGTAGGTAGTAGATTAAGGTGCTGGATGTTGCTGGCCGCTCGGCGCCCCACACCACGTCCACCAGGTTGGTGTCCACAGGGATGAGCAGTCGGCCGGCTTCAGACAGCGGAGTGTTGAAGCTGTTCCACTGGTCTGTGTTCACACATTCAGTTATAATGCTAGTGGTGTGGGCAAGGCTGAGAGCTGTTCTTCATGCAGTACATATCACTGTTATCAAATGAAATAGCAGGTTTCTCTCGCTTTATGTGGGTTCGGTGTGTGCGATATCATGGTGTATATGCGGCTAACCTATTTCCATCCAAGATTCGCTCTACTATGCGGTCGGACGAGGGACAACATTGCATGTGTACTGTGCGCGTGTACTGTGCGTACGTGTGCTGTGCATGAACTGTGCTTGTACTGTGCGTAGACTGTGCGTGAATTGTGTGCTGTGTGCGTTTCTCAGCAGGCAGCTCTCGTGTGGTACATTGTGGGTAGGTGCCTCGGTTCGTTTTATGCAATTTCGCTTTGTGAGCCCCTAATTTGGAATCACATCGACCGCGTAAACCACGGCAGACCGCAATGTTCCGGCCTGCACGAATCCTCGTGTTGTGAGAGATGTCTGCCGTTGCTTCGTGGGGCCGACCTCACAGAGCGAGGTCAAGTGACTCGAGTAAGAGATCAAAATAAGCAAACAACACAAACGCCTTCCTATATCAGCCTCTCCATTAGAAGAAGTACAAACATCTGTTTACACATTCCATCAGCATCACGGCCATCTGGCAGTGCATTTATTGAGCAGCATTGTTTTAGTACGAGGGTCGGCAACCAAAATAGCCAGAAGAGCCTTTTTTCAAATTCGGTAACAAAAACCCCACAATATTTCAAGAGCCGCAATGCATGTGGATACAAGATGGTGGTCCTTAATATATAACGCCACTAAGCAGTCCTGAAAAAGCCACCGCATGCGCGTACAGAGCCGCAGGTTGGCGACTCCTGGTTGAGTACAAGAAAACTCTGCATCGGAGGTGGGCTTCCCTAATCTGGCAGATGTTAATTGGTAAGAACCCTCTCTGTTAGATATGGATCTTGGTTCACAAACTTTATTATATTACTGTATATACACCGCAATCATAATAAGCGTCGTCGTAAAGAATATAACAAATTAACCAACTGCCCCCTCTCAATTATCCAGGGTAATGATGGGGCGGTGCTGTCCAGAGCGGCTCAGGAGCCAGGCGATGAAATCACGGGATGGGGATAGGCCAGGGGCCCCCATTGCACTGTGGTGTTTATAATCATGCGATGCTACACGCCTCTGTGTGTTGTCAAATCTACCGGTTTCTATTCTGATATTGCACACGGTGATGGCAGCAGCAGTATTATGTTCAGCAGCCCGATGATACCAATGTCGAGGTTTGCTGCTGCTCGCCACGATGAGAGGGGCTGCAGCAGAGCGAGAGTTCGTGTTGTGTTGCTGTTTGTCCTCCACCTTTGAAGGAGCGCAGACTGCAGTGGTTTACTATCTAATGTAAACTATATGTATAGAGCACCTTCACTCAAGGTGGTTGACATAGCCAAGAAAAGGGTGAGAGAACAATAGATTGGTTTATATGGCAGGGGCGTACTACAAGGACTGAGGAATGAGCGAGAGCGAAAGAGGGTAGTTAGGGATCATGCAAGGGTAGGGGAGGGACGGAAAGGAGTGGAGAGGCGAGGGGATGGAAGAGGAGGGGAATGAGCAGGAGATAAGAGGTGATGCTTCACAAGAGGAACGGAATGAGATTAAGGAGGGGGGAATGCTTCATGTCGACTCGACTGCTGGCGGGACACAGCAGCGAGGTCACCACACCCGGCAGCAGGCCCAGCGAGCTCTTGAGGACGGATCCTCCACGCAGCGCGACTCACTGATGGAGAGGACGAAGGGGTCCACTCCCACACGGCCTCCCTTCGTCGTCAACTCGAGGATCCACTTCACGACGTCGGAGGTTCCACCTGAAATTCAAGAGAGTGCGCAGATGTGCTCCCACCTACTCCCTCACAGCCTTGTATTTGTTGAGTTGCTTGCGACTATGGGATATCACGGTTGCTGAATACAGCTCCAAAGGACCAAAAACGCCAAACACTGCACAATGTATCGTGCTGAACAGCACTTGCTGCACAAATGTATTGTGCGTTCCAGAATTGGATTGCGGTTTTCGGGGTCATTCTATATTCTATTGAGGATATACATGCAATAAAATAAGCCAACCATGCTAATCGGAGGTGCGGGGCTATGGTGTGCCTCCCCGGTGGTTACCATTGTGCACCCAGCAGCAATAGGAGTACTCGAAACGTGTGTTGGTCATGTTGTGTATAAATCGAGAATCTAAATCAGGACCATGTTGAGCAGCGCATCAAAAATATGCACACACAAAAAATCCTTCACAAAATGAATGTTTCTCGAATGAGGTGGCGTGACCTGACCCAGGGTTCGGGTAGAGATTTGGTGCGATTGCTCGCGAGACACCTTTTGATGTCTTGCAAGAGGTGTTGCATTTCAGCATCACCACCATACTACTACAAAACAAGTTGCCAAAGGGATGTGGTGTTCAGTAGGGGGCAGTACATATTGCTCTCGTCTACACTGCCTTCACATGAACGCTTTGTGCCTTCACCAAGCCGCACAGACCAGCATGGTGAAGCATGCACAAGCAACGGCCATAACTGACAATTAGGCATGAGGAGGTTTTCATCCAGCAGTGGACCTGACAATTGCATTACTATTGTTGCTGTTATTGTCGTTGCTGTTGTTACTGTTGTTGTTCTACCTTTGTGCAGTTCCCAGTTACAGTCCATCTGCCTCTCGGCTTGAATCCAGTACCGGCTGTCGGTCCACAGTCCGGCTTTTGTCTTGGCCACCACGGCTATCCCTGCTCGAGGAACCAGGGAGGAAGCAGAGACAGCACCGCGCTCACTCGGTTCAATGGAAAATGCGTTTATCGCTGCATCATTATGGGCATAAATGCTCTTTATATATGTATTTTATTACTACGATTACTAATAATTTACATTTGTAAGGCACATTTTATCTATTGATCCCAATGTGGCGTCTATAGAACGCAGGAAATAAACAGAAGCAGGGTAAATGGACAGAACGAGGTGCGGGCTAAATGCCAATTTAAAAATGTGAGTTTTTATGACCGAAAAATATGTATTGAGCGACTCTGATCGCCTTATTAGCAAAGGCAAAGCGTGTTCCAAATTTCAGGAGCTGCGCAGTGGCAGAATCGTGATCAGCCCAGGAACAGAGCCTTGACCTTGGAGTTCTTAGAAGGAAATCCGAAGATCTCAGGGACCTCGTTGGAGAGTCAACAGGGATCATCAGTTCCTGCAGTATATTGCTCGTTTACCCAGGCAAGCCTCACTGAGTCTCAAGACTCTTTCAGGAGGGTCCTGCCACATTTTAGCAGCAGCAGGAGGTGGTGCTGATGTGTGTGTATAATCCCAATTAAGTAATTTCCAGTTAATGTTTCAGCATTGAAATGTTTCAGCATTTAGATGTTTGCCGAGTGCCAGATATAGCCAGTCATGGTGGATGGACTGATCGGGATGTTTTAGCTTAGCCAAATTGATGAAATTTGTTTCAAGTAAAGCCACATCTTTGCTTCCACATAGAAAAAAATGAAATCTAAGTTTTTGACCGTTGAGCCTTGTAAATTTGGGAGGCAAAAGCTTGTCTAAGTTGATAGTGTAACGTTTTGGAATATTGTTGATTGTGCCTCCTTTCCAGTAACTTGGTTTCACAAAATGTCAACTTTTAAAACCTCGGGTTTTTGACCCCTGACATTTTGAAGAAAATAAACCATCACCACGGACCATCCAAGAGGCCCCCTAATTCTTCTGGCCTACAGCAAGTGTGTGTATCTTTATATTTACATCAAGGTTTAAGTTTGTGAGCCATGCGGTAGCTTAGGGAGTAGCGCGACCAACATTGTCCAGTCTGCCAGAGAGCGGGCGTACAATGCGGTTGTTTGCAATCCGCTCCATTGTGTGGGTTCGGGTGGCCGCGGTCACCGCGCCGTGGGTCGTCATTCAATGTCCGGCTCGTGGCGGGCCCAGTGACCGTGCAGGCGCCGTCGTGAAGCGGCTCATGCAGCCACCGCGGTTTTCTTAGCAGATTAAAGTTGTGCGGATAAACGATGATATCACTTGGAGCGCACCTTGCGCTGCATCTCTCAAACCGGATGGAATCGCTCGTGGGTGCTTTGCAAGTCTGAGGCCAGCGAGCATCACTGGGAAACGGACCAACAGCTTCGATTCCACAATTCTGCGTGCCATGTCGGATTTCATCCGCCGCTGTGCAGTGTGTAACGGCTTGAATGACTGAGACAGACGTGCATTGTTATGGACGTGATGTGATTACTAGCTGCTAGAACGGATAGCAGCTTCCATTTCATATTCCTGTGCAGAATGTCAGATTTAATTGCCTTGGAGCAATGTATTTCTATTTGGGTTGCAATAATAGAGAACGTGTCAAATGTATGAATTCCTTCTATTTTTTGATTTTCCGATTCAGATCTTATGACGTGTACTATTTGCTATGAACGATTTAACTTTGCAAATCTTCTTCAAGGATTAAAAAAACAATCATGGTTCACCGAATTGAATACATCCCCGAATTAAAGCCATGTCCAGCTAAGTAGCATGCATTCAATTCAGGATTTGAGAGCGAATATTTGTGGTGAAAACATTCGCACCAAATTATATTTCTCGAACAATAGCAACGCTAAGAACTTTACATTTATAGGCCAATTTAAACTAAAGCTCACTTAGCTTATATCGCATCAAAATGCGCGGCCAGTGCTAGTGTGTTATAGCTTAAAAAGTTCCTGTATAGGCAAGCTAGATTGCTGTGAAAGTTGAATCGTGTTGTGGGAGAGACCTCTGGTATGTGGCAGACTACCATGGAGAAGATAATTCAAGACCATCTGTGCTCCAGTGGTCCCATGAGACATCACAGGGATTAACACACAAAAGGTTCATATCGAGTCTCTCTCGGTGAGCTGGATGTGGTAGGTATCGACTGCACTAGTGGTGTCCTGCAAAATATCGACGGAGAAAAATGTATCGCCGATTGTCAATTGTGTTTAGGATTGTGCCAGAAGTGGCATTGAAGCTCTTTGCTGCATAGGTGAATGTCCTGAACTCACCCGAGGAGCCAGTGAACCCAGTAATCCACGCCATGCGTGCGTCACGGGGAGCGATGTATTCACTCTGTCAAAGATAAACACAAAGATCCCCCATGTAGCTTTTAACAGGCTGAGGCAAGTTCTGTTAGCGAGTAGCACCTATGAAGGCTGTCACTGCGCCCGGCCGCCTTTGTCTCCCCAATGCTGATGTCTACACATCACACCAGGTACTCATTTTAGGGCGAGTCGACTTAGGGGCCGTCCATAAATGACGTCACGCACCTAGGGGGGGGTCAGACATTTCTGACGATGTTTTTGAGGACGGTTTGGTCTGGCCATGTTTGTTTGTTGTAGTACAGAGTTGGCCTGATAACTTTAATTTAAATTGTCTTATGGTTGTTACTGTTTGACTTGCATCCCACTGGGATTTTTGCACACAGCGTTGAAATGCAGTATTTTTTCTGGAAGACTTTGCTCTTTTTTCCAGATTTTTTTCTGTTGCGTATAGTCACTTTAAGATGTTTCTTGTTCATGTTTTTGTTTTGGTGCGGTTGCACCCGAGTCAAGAGCCGCATGGCTCACAAGGTTATCTCCATATATATAAAAGGCAAATTTGTGATTATGTGTGTCTGTTCAAAATGTTTAGCGTACTTGCCGACATGCAACAAACTTGAAATTTGCCATGTGGGTACTTTTCAGACTGTACACATGCGTCTCGGTCAGTCGACTCGTGGCACCTGGGTCTGCCCCATGGCCTCCTGCCAGCGGGCGTTCGACACTTCACGTGGCCTCAAGGTGCACATAGCCTGGCACAAGCGTCGTGGTGACGTCACCGCCACTTAGTGGCGAATGGCGGTTGTTGCTGTTGTGTGTATGTGAGCGCGTGTGTGTGTGGTTAACACCGCGAGCGTTGGCACCATGTGAGAGTCGGAGGCTGGGATGATGTAGACGTCCAGGTTGTAGGAGACATTGCTCATCAGCTGACGCAGACCCAGGAGGCGCTGCTGGGTGATGGTAACGGTGGGGGGCAGGAACTGCGCGGCACAGGCAGGGGGAGAGCACCTTCACTCGCGCATCTTCACTCGCGCATCTTCACTCGCGCATCTTCACTCGCGCACCTTCACTCGCGCACCTTCACTCGCGCACCTTCACTCGCGCACCTTCACTCGCGCACCTTCACTCGCGCACCTTCACTCGCGCACCTTCACTCGCGCACCTTCACTCGCGCACCTTCACTCGCGCACCTTCACTCGCGCACCTTCACTCGCGCACCTTCACTCGCGCACCTTCACTCGCGCACCTTCACTCGCGCACCTTCACTCGCGCACCTTCACTCGCGCACCTTCACTCGCGCACCTTCACTCGCGCACCTTCACTCGCGCACCTTCACTCGCACAAAGACACGGACACCCCGCATAGCCTCGAGACTGTTGAGGCAAAGATTTGTATGTAAGTTGAACTTCTTTTCCACCGTACGTAGCCAAGCATGCTAATCGGAGGTGCGAGTAGCGCCTACGAAGGCTAGCATGGCACACGAGGAAGTGGGTGCCCAGCACCATGCCCGGCCACCTTTAACTCACCGCACCAGTACTAATTTGAGGCTGAGTCTACCTAGGGGAGGCCCAGGACCGGTTCAGGTAATCATCAATGGGAATCGCACTCGGTTCGCCGGGTTCGTAGCGCAGCGTGCGAACCACACCGTCACCGCTCCCCACATGCAACTCGGAGACAGCCGCACATCACCCAGACGCACATCACGTGTCTCCTGGGCTGTGCTCCTGTGCCGTTTAACTGCATCCTGTGATTGTGTTACCCAAAGATAAACGGGAAGCCACCTCAACAATTCCTCTTCGCTCCACCAGTCGATCGCTCAATCTCCGCTGCTGCACAACGTCTGGAGCTCGCTCTCCCCCAGCCTTCCGTGCTGTTGACTCCATGCCCCCTGCTCAAGACCTTAATGCATTGTTTTATTTGCCTACGACCGACTGCTTTCATATTTTATATATTTAAAACATAGTTTTTTTGGCTGGCACGCAGGCAAGTATTTCCATAAAATAAAGATTCCCTCTGTTGATGGGCAGTGCCTTGCACAGACTTTTGTCAATCCACTGCTGGATGAGTCCCCCCCCCCTTCCGTGCATAGTACAACACAGAAATGGATTCTTCTTCATTGCCCTCTGCTGCACACTACGTAGCCCCAGAGTCTATAACACCTCTTTTTCATGGTGGTTGTTTATGTTCAAACTGACTTCATTAACATACATGCATGAACTCTATTTAGGAATTAATTTATGACGTTTTTATAAAATTACAGGTGTAATCTTATAACATTCATCAATTATTTGTCTCCATTAATGGTTCTTGGTCGAGTTTCATAAACGATGGATTTGAGGTGACCCTACAGCAAGTAGAAATATAAATATTAATGATAGATAAAATATGAACGGTAATAATAGATACTATATTTACAATAAACAGATAGAATACAAAATAAAAATTTCATAATTCCAGTGGTAAAATAAATGTAATAACCTTGTGTCCTGACTTTTGGGCCACCCTGTACAACAGGCATCGTCATGGTATGAGATCGAACCCACGTTCTCCTACATAGCAGGCGAGGGAGATACATTTCCTCACCAGCACGGTGCTCCAATTAAACATTACGCAAAGAGTTAGTCTCTTGTTAAAACACGGTGACCAGGAGTTGAACCCGATACTAGTTGTGAAACTGGCATTGCACCAGGCCACGCGAGGAGGCTATTAGGATTTCTCGTTTTCTTTATACACTTGTGCTATGAACGTTCATGTCAAGAGATGCAAGCAACCTCGTTTGAACTCCTAAAGCAAGCAGTGCACTACCCTGTGACACAACTAGTTCTGAAGTGATTGACTTCGGACTGTATCTGCACTATTAAGGACAACTTTAATTGGCTGTGTCATGTGGTTTAACAACACATTAATATATATGCGCTCTAACCCAAGAAAACCTTTATTATAGATATTTGTTGCGAAAGCCTTTTTTGTGTTAAACTGATATCTTTGGAGATCAACTTCCTTGCTACTACTCCTCCACGACATCCTCCTGAATAGTCACAGTCGACACCTGACCGCGTTTACACCTTGTGCTTTCCCAGATGTCCCACCTGGCCTCATTGGCCGTGGAACAGAGCCTAATAAAACGTTCCCACAGGCGAGGTTGGATGTTATGGCTTTTCAAATCAGTGCTTACAACACCGACTTATTTTTAAATTGGTGGTCCTGCTAGTTGTCACTCGGGCTCAGGCGGAAACATTTGTGAGATTATTGGGTATGGCGGTCGCAGACTCCAGGATTCAGTATTTTACGAATCTTGGCACCAAACTCAACCAGAATATATCGTTCGATCACCATGTGCAAAATATAGTCAGGTCCTGCAATTTTCATATCAGGGCTCTACGACACATTCGACCACTATTGAGTCGTGACATAGCCAACACGGTTGCGTGTAGCGTAGTATTGACAAAGCTCGATTATGGCAACTCATTCCTCTACCGGACGTTTGCCAAAAACGTTACCAAACTGCAGCGTGTAAAAAAAGAATTGGCACGTGTCGTGACGGATACTGCAAGATGCGAACATGTCCGTCCAGTGCTCACCGAGCTGCATTGACTTCTGGTTGTCGAACGAATAGCCTCACTCTAGACCAGTGCTTCTCAAAGCGTGCTGCCTTCTTATGTTAAAGGTGATCGTCAGCGCCACGTTCCAATGGGGAAAGGAGAGGGGGGGGGGGTACATGTGGGGTCCGCGGGTACACTGACGGGTTAAGAGCCACCGCTGTCCACTCACTGGTGGGCTGACGGTGCAGTCCCGCACGTCTTGTTCGTCTCTGGGGGCAGCAGCAACAGCCTCCACTTGCTCGTTGGCCCTGCGCTGTCTCAGCAGCAGAGACGCGTCCCCCAAGAGGGCTGTGAGTGGGAACACCACAGCACGGTGAGCTCATACGTGACTGAGTGTATGTGTGTGTATGTTGAACTTCTTTCATACATAGCCAACGGCACTAATAGGAGGTGCGGGAAAAGGTCAACAATCTTAATACAAAAAAAAATTCTCTTAAAAATGTGTTTTCAATGTAGATTTAGCATCAGTGTCTTCATAATATTGGAAGAGCGTTCCAAACAGCCGCAGAAGCGCATCTGAAAAGCACGCGAAGAAGTGACTCTCTTTGTTCAATGGTCAGAGTGATATGCTTTGGATCTTTTGGTAAAGTCACGTAGATATAATAATAATAAAGTGAATACAAATAAAAGCCATAACGTTTCGATCACAACACAAGCGATCGTCTTCAGGAGGAGAGAGGGGGAAGGTCACCGAAGGTAACCGTTTTTAAAGGTTTAAAAAAATAGGCGTGGCACAAGAGCTCCGGTAGCGGAACGAAGTAGGCGCGGCATATGTGACCTGGGGTAAGGTCAAAGGAAAACACAAATCAAGTCATGACTTGACCTGTGCTCCCTTGACAAGAATACACAAATCAAGTCATGACCCAAAGTGGTTGATGACATCTTTCCAATGATTGCTGAGTTTGTACCCATCCTCTCGGTTGAAATTGTGTCCGTGTCTGTATAAATGGATGGCTTCATGAACGAATCTTTGTTGATAGCCAGTGGGTTTGCAAAGTACAATCGTCTTACAGAAATCAATTTCGTGTGAGCCAGCCGCATTAAAATAATGACCAGCCACGGCAGAAGTATTGGTCCTACCGTGTTTCAAATCTGCCTTTCCCCAATGTAACTGCTGCCACAAATACAACTTAGTTTGCAGACGCCAGGATATTGCATGTCAGGGATCTTGTCCTTTACAGATAGGATCAGATCATGAATTTTATGTACTGTGTTAAATCGGACCTGGATCTTGTGATTGTTCATGATTTTGGAAATATTTTTAGTTACCCCTGCTATGTATGACAAGGTGATGGTTTTGATTTAATCCTCAGATGGCTCCTTCCTCACGGTTGGAGTGATGGCTTTGCGGATTGTGTCGTCAGAATATCCATTCGCCTTCAAAACTTGGTGCAGGGGCGGTTTCTTCATTAGGGCGATTGGGCAACGCACCACCAATGTCATTCAACCACAGAGTTACGCTCGCTGTTACTGTGCCTCTGGATATAGTCCAATCAGCGTCATGTCACGTTCTGTGGAGTACCGCCTCTTTTTGGGCGATTTCACTCTGGCTGAGAATCGCCCAGAGTGTTCCCATAGACTTACATTCAAAGATGTTTTTTTTCGAACGGCGGGCGCTCCAATGCATTCTCTATGACTTCCGGGAGGGCTCGCACTAACGTGCTTACGTCATCATACGTAAGCACGTTTCAGTCAACAATATTATTTGTCGCCACCTAGTGGAATCTTTAATAAAAGAAACTGAGTGGATTGTAATAATAGTGAGTATAGAAACAAACAAGATGTATTGTAAGAGTCACTTTATTTTTCATTAATATTAAAGTAGTGAAGTTGCCTTTACATGCTTAAGCTGTTAATGTATCCATTGCATGGGTGGACCTTATCCTTATCAATCATCCAGACATTTGCCCTCCCTGAAAGATTTTGCAGGAGCCGCCACTGGCTTGGTGTATATGTTTGCCTTCACTGGTTAGGTGTTCATGGTCAGAGATATATTAAGCTCTATGGTGTAGAGTTTTCATGAGGGATTTATTCTAGGATGGATGGTGGCGGGAGTCAAGTTTTAGGTAGACATCAGTATGGGTTGCTTTCCTGTAGACAGAATGGCTCATTGAGCCATCTGGTCTCTTTTTGATTAGTACATCCAAGAAAGGTAGCATACCATCCTTTTATACCTCCATGGTGAATTTGATGGCTGGGTGTATGGAATTGATGTGGTTCAGTGATTTGCATTGTGTAATACAGAGCCTTGCCTGGAACTAACAACCATATCGAACAGCGAGAGGGTCTTTGGCAGTGGACATTTGGCAGTTTACCAACATTGGTTCAAGCGAGCCTGGCTCAGCTGATGAGGCACTTGAATTTCAAGACTTGTCCAGAGAGTTGCCTGTACTGTATTAAAGAAATGCTCATAAAAAAACACTCACTCCCGAAGGGCCGCGAGGGCAATGGGATGTGTAAAAAAATATTTCCTGTTGAGGGACAACTAGGGGAAGTCGGAGAATTGTCTGTTTATTTATTTTGTCACTAAATGAATAACGCCTTGTTCCCATAATTGTGTCTTCACATAAAGTACATTTTACACATCCCATCGGTCACACAATCTTCTGGGAGTGCATCTATAACCTGCCGCATAAGATGTTGAACGTATTGAATAAGGCCATATGCCTAGAAACAAATCAACATGAATGCGAGTCAGGTTTTGTCAGATGTCGCAAGTTTAGCCGCCTTGGGCCTGGATTGTGCTTGGATGGCTGACACATGCAATGCCCCACACTCGTCGTTAAGTAGCTTAAGGAGCTACGTGGTGGGTTGCGCATGCCGGTGGAGCAACATCCGTTGTTGCACTCTACTATGCTCCAACATCTATGCTCGATGAGCACCGAGGTCTAGTATGGTCAAATAACTATCACGAGCTGCACACATGCACACACTATATTTTAAAGCAAACTACGGACAGAATTATTGTCAACATTTCCATCAAGGCGTCTTGAAGGTGATAATTATTCAAGTGTCAAGTGTGCTACCTAACCAAAGTGGCCTGGTGTCATTGTTCTTACCGCTCATCAGCCGAGCTGACGTAGGTTGCATAATTGTCACGTGCGTGACAATGATAATTGCTTTGCAGACAGGAATTGACGCAGCTGACCGCATTGCATCGTGGACGTTAATTTTTGGATTCTGGTCAGCAAGCCAGTGGAGACCTACGGCTCTGGCCAGGAAGACGTCAGAGTTGCTTGAGGCAATCATCTTGTCCGAGTCATCCATGGACATGGCACGTGCTCTGGTTTAGGGTCTCTACTCTGCTTTCCAACCCAATAGTATTACAATTGCAATACAAACAATTGTATTGCAATTGTTCCGAAGAGTCGTTACCGGAAACCTCGGCCTAATACCGCATTCTCTAGACTCTGAGAATCCCCAGACAGTAAGACGAACCCTAAACGTGAGTTCGTTGACCATACAGTTTTACGAATATGGTCACATACCCACACTCCGACACATCTACACATTCAAAGACACACACACATATTCCCCAATATAGGATGTAACAGACTGTAGTGGCAAGCGCCGTGCGTGGGCGCCGGTTAATGCCGGCACGACATACGCCAGGCCGCCTTTGTCCCCCCAATGCTGATGTTTACACATCACACCAGGTATTCATTTAAGGCAGAGTCGACTTAGGGGAGACTCAAGACAAGTTCATATATTTATCACCAATGTGTTCGTGAGCGCAGTGGGATAACCACGCACACACATCTACCACATGGTGAGACGCGCGTCGAGCTTGGCTTTAAGATACAGCAAAGAAAGTGCGTCCTGGAATGCCGAGCGGTATTATTCTGATTCAACTTTATTCGCGTGTGACTGCATGTGGCGCAGTTTTCATTATTTTGGTTCAGAGAAATATTTCTGCGTGGAGTTGCTATTATCTCTCCCTGCTCTGCATGAGTTTCCTACTATAGAAAAATAAAATCCCATCAAATGTAACTGGTATTGGCCTAAACACCCCAATGCTGAAATATATCAGCTGCAAATCATTAAATGTGGATGAGACAGCAGCAACATCGCTCCCAACTGCCACCCTCCTTAAAACGAGTCTTGAAACTGAGTGAAGCTTTCCTGGGTAAATGAGCATCATGATAAACAATAATAACCAGTTAATATATAAGTCCCCCTCCTTGCACCCGATCTTTGTAGACCACACTCAGTCGCACCCGAATAAAGTTGAAATATGCATTTTAAAAAAAATCTGCAGACACCACCAATCCAGGGGATGTGCTGCATTGTTGTCAGCGTTGATGATGGACACGACGAGTCGTATTATTTGTAAAAAGACAATGGCAACAAGGGGCCTTCAAATAAGGGAAGTGGCTATATCTGCGATCAAAGTGGCGCAACAGCAATCGTTCAACCTCGTGAGGTCTCGAGGTTGAGCCTGGAAAGTGCTTGGAAGGGTGACCACAATGCACGTGGTGGACAGCAGAGATTAATTGTAGAAAAAAATCCGATGATGGTTTGCTGTTCTTCTGTCTTCTTGCACTCATATCCCCCCACCTTGACGACGCGATGAGGTATGGTCAACCAATCCTCTGCTAACCCCTATAATCCGCACGGCTTATAGTTGTTAGCAGTGGATTGATATAAGGGCATTGATTAGGAGCAGAAAGGGAAATTCATTTGTAGTGGTGTTACGGGACAAACACACATCGGTTACAGCTGTAGTGGTGTTACGGGACAAACACACAGCTAGCGTGCAGTGTTCGCGAGCCGAAGTCCGAAGACCCAGTTGAAGACTGAAGACTGGCTAGATAGACCCTGGAACTCCTCTGACCCGCAGTTCAGGGCCGGGCAGAGCAAGCCGGCGGTGTGACCCCAGAGCTTCAGAGCCGACGTCCTTCGACGGGCCGGGTCTGTGTGGCTGGTGGTCGGGACCTGAGCCTTGGCTGGGCCAGGTCAGGTAGCCTCCTCTAGAGCCCTTAGCGGAGAACCTGGGAGCGTAGGTAGATATGCAGATAGCCTAGGGGTGTATCCCAGTATAGTACGTGTGAAGGGGCCGTTACCCCTTCAAAAGTTGTATACGTTGCCCGTTAAAGTGTTATTAAGATATAATAAACAGCGTTGCCTCCATTTTGCCGTCTCTGTCGAGTCAGAACTCACTACATATTGAATTGAATGCTGTTCGAATGTTGTAATTGGGTCGTGCAGCCTACGTGATGTGGAGCGCACTGCTAAACGAAGAGGACGTTTTGAAAGTTCTCAGCATAAAATATAATATTTTCAAATATTTCCCAATCAAATACAGAATATGTATATACCGAATTACCTAAATTATAAGACGCACCCCTGAAATTATGTCCGTTGTTGATTAAGTTATGCAAATCGTATCACGAAAATAAATATCCCCCGTATAGCCTTAAGATACCTTTGGGACAAGTGCTGTTCAGCCACACCTCTGCAGAACCGAACCGGCCAATACCACGCCCGGCCGCGTTTCCCTCCTTCCTAGTGGCGATGTTTACACATCACACCAGGTACTCATTTGCGGCTGAGTCGACCTAGGGGAAGCCCAGGGCCAGTACAAATAATCATCACTGGCGTTCGCCGTGAGCGGAAATCGAACTCGGTTCGCTGGCTTCGTAGCGCAGCGCGCTAGCCACTACACTACCGCTCCCCACGACAACAGTAACAACCGACATTGGCCACGAAGTAGCGGTGACGTCTACCACAGCTCTTGTGCCAGGCTAGGTGCACTTTGAGGCACGTGAAGTGTCGAAGGCATGATGCTGGTAGGAAGTTACGGGTCCAACCCAGGTGCTATGGGATGACTGGCTGATATGGCAGCTGCATGACCTGCGTCACCTTGCGACGTTTTAGTCGCTCGACGCTCTGCTTGTTCTTGTGAGGGTCGCTCCTCTGCCCTCCACTCCCCCCACACACACACTCACCTACCGCATGATAAGACGCACCCCCAACTTTGTTCTGATAAAAAAAATACAGGGGAGATGAGCTGGAGGAGACGGATGTGCGTTTTACCAAAATCATCGGATTCCTCCATTATTATTAATTTATGATGGAGGAATCCGATGAGCTGGAAAGCTCTTTTTCACAGATGTCCATTCGGGGCGGATCAGAATGTTACAACAACAAACAATACAAACACGATAGGAGTGCAGAATGCAGGCAAGGTCAATACGTCGTTTAAAATATCTACACAAATAAAACTAAACAATAGTTGGATCTTACCAGGTAACGCCACAAATGATAGCTCAACAAAGTGGCTTATCACGTGGACGTGTGTGATGCGCGTGTGAGACGCGGCAGCAGCGCTCACCGTGCAAGAGGAGGACGAGGGGCAGGCAGAGCCGCCGCAGGGCGGCGTGGCCGGCCATCCCGCGCGCGATCAGCGTGGTGGAGTCGAGGTTCAGGTTCAGCTGCGGCTGCTGCTGCTGCCGCTGGCCCTGTGCGAACTGCTGCGGTCTGGCCAAGGCGCGTCGCAGCGCGGAGGCTGGCTGCCCCGTCTCAGAACCCACCGGGTAAATGATTACAGGAGGATCCTTGGACTCTTGCTGAGGTTGTTTTGACTTTTTTTCCGCGCAGAATACATGGTCGAGGTCAAAGGGTAGCGATCGTATTCTCAACCCAGTGCGTGGGGTGTGCATCGTATGTCACGCAGCATATCATCACAAGTCGGTATGATGGCTCTTAGTATGTCACGCAGCCTATCATCACACAGTCGGTATGATGACTCTTAGTATGTCACGCAGTCTATCATCACAAGTCGGTATGATGACTCGTAGTATGTCACGCAGCCTATCATCACACAGTCGGTATGATGGCTCTTAGTATGTCACGCAGTCGATCATCACACAGTCGGTATGAGAACTCTTAGTATGTCACGCAGTCTATCGTCGCACAGTCGGTATGATGGCTCTTAGTATGTCACGCAGTCGATCATCACACAGTCGGTATGAGAACTCTTAGTATGTCACGCAGCCTATCATCACACAGGCGGTATGATGGCTCTTAGTATGTCACGCAGTCTATCATCACAAGTCGGTATGATGGCTCTTAGTATGTCACGCAGTCTATCATCACACAGTCGGTATGATGGCTCTTAGTATGTCACGCAGTCGATCATCACACAGTCGGTATGATGGATCTTAGTATGTCACGCAGTCGATCATCACACAGTCGGTATGATGGATCTTAGTATGTCACGCAGTCTATCATCACAAGTCGGTATGATGACTCGTAGTATGTCACGCAGCCTATCATCACACAGTCGGTATGATGGCTCTTAGTATGTCACGCAGCCTATCATCACAAGTCGGTATGATGGCTCTTAGTATGTCACGCAGTCTATCATCACAAGTCGGTATGATGGCTCTTAGTATGTCACGCAGTCTATCATCACACAGTCGGTATGATGGCTCTTAGTATGTCACGCAGTCGATCATCACACAGTCGGTATGATGGCTCTTAGTATGTCACGCAGTCGATCATCACACAGTCGGTATGAGAACTCTTAGTATGTGACGCAGTCTATCGTCGCACAGTCGGTATGATGGCTCTTAGTATGTCACGCAGTCTATCATCACACAGTCGGTATGATGGCTCTTAGTATGTCACGAAGTCGATCATCACACAGTCGGTATGATGGATCTTAGTATGTCACGCAGTCGATCATCACACAGGCGGTATGATGGATCTTAGTATGTCACGCAGTCGATCATCACACAGTCGGTATGATGACTCGTAGTATGTCACGCAGCCTATCATCACACAGGCGGTATGATGGCTCTTAGTATGTCACGCAGTCGATCATCACACAGTCGGTATGATGGCTCTTAGTATGTCACGCAGTCGATCATCACACAGTCGGTATGAGAACTCTTAGTATGTCACGCAGTCTATCGTCGCACAGTCGGTATGATGGCTCTTAGTATGTCACGCAGTCTATCATCACACAGTCGGTATGATGGCTCTTAGTATGTCACGCAGTCGATCATCACACAGTCGGTATGATGGATCTTAGTATGTCACGCAGTCGATCATCACACAGGCGGTATGATGGATCTTAGTATGTCACGCAGTCGATCATCACACAGGCGGTATGATGACTCGTAGTATGTCACGCAGTCGATCATCACACAGTCGGTATGATGACTCGTAGTATGTCACGCAGCCTATCATCACACAGTCGGTATGATGACTCTTAGTATGTTACGCAGTCGATCATCGCACAGTCGGTATGATGACTCTTAGTATGTCACGCAGTCGATCATCGCACAGTCGGTATGATGGCTCTTAGTATGTCACGCAGTCTATCATCACACAGTCGGTATGATGGCTCTTAGTATGTCACGCAGTCGATCATCACACAGTCGGTATGATGGCTCTTAGTATGTCACGCAGTCGATCATCACACAGTCGGTATGAGAACTCTTAGTATGTCACGCAGTCTATCATCACACAGTCGGTATGATGGATCTTAGTATGTCACGCAGTCTATCATCACACAGTCGGTATGATGGCTCTTAGTATGTCACGCAGTCGATCATCACACAGTCGGTATGATGGATCTTAGTATGTCACGCAGTCGATCATCACACAGTCGGTATGATGGCTCTTAGTATGTCACGCAGTCGATCATCGCACAGTCGGTATGATGACTCTTAGTATGTCACGCAGTCGATCATCGCACAGTCGGTATGATGACTCTTAGTATGTCACGCAGCCTATCATCACACAGTCGGTATGATGACTCTTAGTATGTCACGCAGTCGATCATCGCACAGTCGGTATGATGACTCTTAGTATGTCACGCAGCCTATCATCACACAGTCGGTGTGATGGCTCTTAGTATGTCACGCAGCCTATCATCACAAGTCGGTATGATGACTCTTAGTATGTCACGCAGCCTATCATCACAAGTCGGTATGATGACTCTTAGTATGTCACGCAGTCTATCATCACAAGTCGGTATGATGGCTCTTAGTATATCACGCAGTCGATCATCACACTGTCGGTATGATGACTCTTAGTATGTCACGCAGTCTATCATCACAAGTCGGTATGATGGCTCTTAGTATGTCACGCAGCCTATCATCACAAGTCGGTATGATGGCTCTTAGTATATCACGCAGTCGATCATCACACTGTCGGTATGATGACTCTTAGTATGTCACGCAGCCTATCATCACAAGTCGGTATGATGGCTCTTAGTATGTCACGCAGTCTATCATCACACAGGCGATATGATGACTCTTAGTATGTCACGCAGTCGATCATCACACAGGCGGTATGATGGCTCTTAGTATGTCACGCAGTCGATCATCACACAGGCGGTATGATGGCTCTTAGTATGTCACGCAGTCTATCATCACACTGTCGGTATGATGGCTCTTAGTATGTCACGCAGTCTATCATCACAAGTCGGTATGATGGATCTTAGTATGTCACGCAGCCTATCATCCCACAGGCGGTATGATGACTCTTAGTTTGCAAATGTTTTTAATCCATGCGTTGCTCTCTTTGGCTCTCAGTCTCATTCTAAGCACGCTTCTTTCCATTGTTCTGTGCTTAATGTTAATCTTGCTACATTTCTCAATGACCATGTTTCTGAATCATCATGTGTTGCCATAGCAGAAGGTGTTAAGCGCCGATTACAAAATAATGTGAATTCTCTCGGAACGTTGATAAGTTGCTTTTCATGATCAAGTTCAGATTTTCAGAACACTCCTAAATTGTTCTCCTTCATCTCTTTAATTCATCATCCAATCAAAAAGACAGTGGGACGACAGACAACGTTCGACGGACTTAATGCAATCAATGCTGCAGAGTTACGCTCGGGATGAATTCTTTATGAATACTGTATGAGCGAACAGAGCGACCAGAGAAGGAGAGGGAGTGGAGGCTTCATTGGCAAGGGTCTAGCAGTAGACGCGCAGGGTGAGAGTGGCCAGTGGATGGGGAGACGCTGCCGAGAGGGCCCAGAGGAAGAAGGCGCTGTGGCTGGTGGCACTCAGAGAGCGCGGTCCCTTTCGACTAGGGGCGGGGCGGGGGGGGGGCAAGCTGTCGTCACCACAGGGATCTAAAAGGGAAGGAGGGACCAGAGAAGGGGGGGCAGGGAACGGGGACCAGGGAAGGGGGGCAGGGAAGGGGGGACCAGGGAAGGGGGGGCAGGGAAGGGGGGACCAAGGGAGGGAGGAACAATGGAGGGAGGGACCAGGGGAAGAGGGACCAAGGGGGGGGGGACCAAGGCAGGGGGGGGGCAGAGGCGCGGGCGGCAGAAGATTTCACGGTGGAGCGCTGGGAGTCGACAGTGAGCGATCGAGGGAGAGAAATGTGAACGCGGGGAACCCGGTTCATGTACGACAACAATAACAGCCATTCGTCAATAAGTGGCGGTGACGTCACCACACCGCTTGTTCCAGGCTAGGTGCACTTTGAAGTGTCAAAGGCTTGCTGGCAGGAGCTTACGGGACAAACCCAGGTGCCATGGGTTGACTGACTGAGATGACTGGCAGAAGTTCAACATACACACACACGCAGCTACTAAGTAATGGGCAGAAGTTCAACATACACACGTACAGCTACTCAGTCATGGGAAGGAATTCGAATTGGCTGGGCCTCTACGGTGTGACGGCAGAGCTATGGTGGTGGACTTCACCTCGTGGACTTTGGCACCTCTGCATGTATTGTGTGTGTGCGTTCATGAGTTATGTAGATTTTTTTACAGTGGCCTTGCCTTGGCACGAACGTACTGAAGCTGTATGGGGACAGAGATCGCGTGGGATATATAAGATCTGTAAGTATGCACGCGTATATTCCTTCCTTCCCGTTCATCATTTTATTTTTACAGTCAGTCGTTCTGTTTTCAAGTCTCTTTTGTTTGACGAGGTGAGAAATCACGAGACGAGGCAAGTCAAAATTTGCATGAGTGACTCAGGACCACGTTGGGCGTGTGTTAAAGAACATCTGTAAGCGATTTGGTGAAGAAATAATGTTGGTGTTCGTGGAGATCTAAAGGTAGACAGGAGTTGTTGAGTGTCATCAAAATAACGAGGCGTACTCGGTTTGCTAGTGTGTTATCTTATCTTATACACTTAGAATTGTACAAAGCTGATAGTGGTGGAGATATAAATATTGGGGTTGTTAAAAGTGGTGTAGTTGAGTTAAGGAGGGGTAGTGATAGGGTTCGTGATAGGGGTAGTGGTAGGGGTAGTGATAGGGGTTGTGATAGGGGTAGTGATAGGGGTAGTGATAGGGGTAGTGATAGCAGTTGGGATAGTGATAGGAGTAGTGATAGGGGTTGAGGTAGGGGTTAGGGTATTGACAGGAGTAGTTATAGGGGTTGGGGTAGTGATAGTGGTTGTGATAGGGATTGGGTAGTGGTAAGAGAAGTGATAAGGGTATGGCAGGTGTTTTGCTCCGTGGGAGGAGTGGGGGCATGTGTACACAGGAATTTCCTGATTTTGATGCTGAGTTTGGTCACGTGACCAGGAAGTTTCGATTTGACAGCCTTTCAGCC